GGGGGGGGGGGGGGGGGGGGGGGGATTGAAATTTCAGAAACTAAGCGAGTGAACAAATATCCGTTATGACGCGTCCCATTATGACCAGCAAGGACAAGTACGATTATAACGTGTCGTAATATCCTATCAGCGGAATTTATAACGTCAACGGTCCAGTAAAATTCAATTTGCCCAAGGCCCCGCACCCTCCTAGCGCCGGCCATGCTACAGACAGTCCTACACCATACCGCCAAAAGAAAAAAAAAAAATTAAACTTTTTACCTGAGTTTAACCGTCTCACGTGACGCTCACAAAGTTTCACGTGACAGCTTTTTTTCCCCACTCTTAATATAAATAAATCATGTTGAGTGGGGGTTGGGGCGATCGGGAAAAGAAAGCAGGACACACCAGAAGCAAAATATTTATAAGCGATAAAAAGAGGTGCATAAAAAATGCGATTTAATTTTCCATCATCGATGGAATCATTTACTTAAATACGGTGTTTCTCTTTATTTCACTATTCTTGATTTTAGCGTTATATATGCCGCCTCCCCCCCCCCCTCCCCTTTTTTTCCCCCCAAATTTCAAATAGTGATACGATTTTAGGGAACTGGCAGAGTGTTTGGTGTCTGCTGAGTAGATTTATTTTTAAGGCCCCCCCCTCCCCTTCCCACGACCCCTGAAACCCATTATTCTCATCAATGTCTTAAAAAATGGATTGAATAAGACTAAGTACATTTTCGTGAAAAAAAAACAAATAGCTTAGGCCTAACCAGAGGTCTACGAGCCTTTCAGAATTCTAAGTTTGAGCATTCTGTACAAGTTAATAAATAGGGGAAACGAGCTGTGTGATTTCTTGATGGAAACGATACCGATTGTCACGGTGCACTTATGAGTTTGTATCTATTTTAAAATCAATAAATCATGATTTTTATTCTATCAAAGGGCAGAGCTAGATCATGACCTCACGCGTCTTATCGCAACCATATAAGATACCACGACAAAATATCGATCAAAATATTCAACCATAGTATTCGATTTGATCTTCACTTTACAGTCCTAATTTCGCATTTTTACCGCGTTTAATTAATAATTAAACAGGAATAAATATGAAATTATTAATATCAGGGGGTTTTGTACACATTTGTTTATTTTTGTAATTTTTTTCAATTTTTTTTTTTTTTTTTTTTGGCGGGGGGGGTCTGGTGATAATAAAAACAACATTTTACCAATCCTTTCAGCATCCTTTTAGAATAATATTTTTACCAAGTTTTCCTTGAAAACCAGGTTGTCGGTCTGCACGACACGATAGACACAAATTCATGCCCGCCCCCTTTTTTTTCTCAAGGAACGGGGCGTTATTTAAGCCTATCACCACTAAAAGATAAATGTTATTTAAGCCTATCACCACTAAAAGATAAATGTTATTTAAGCCTATCACCACTAAAAGATAAATGTTATTTAAGCCTATCACCACTAAAAGATAAATGTTATTTAAGCCTATCACCACTAAAAGATAAATGTTATTTAAGCCTATCACCACTAAAAGATAAATGTTATTTAAGCCTATCACCACTAAAAGATAAATGTTATTTAAGCCTATCACCACTAAAAGATAAATGTTATTTAAGCCTATCACCACTAAAAGATAAATGTTATTTAAGCCTATCACCACTAAAAGATAAATGTTATTTAAGCCTATCACCACTAAAAGATAAATGTTATTTAAGCCTATCACCACTAAAAGATAAATGTTATTTAAGCCTATCACCACTAAAAGATAAATGTTATTTAAGCCTATCATCACTAAAAGATTAAACACCGTTAACTTGAGATTCAAACTTGATTGGGGTTTTATTCATTTCCTCTTTACGTGCTATTTAACAGAGGGCCTGCGGCGATTCATGAATATGCAATAAGACGAAGTTGAGCACTTGAATACACGAAACATTTCGAAGATACAATGACGATTTGACCAGAGCCAATGCATTCAAAGTTGCCGGTCCGTGCAACCTGAGACCAGGAACTCAGCAGTCGAAATACACAGGTCAGAATCAGTCATTGTCATACACTGGTCAGAATCAGTAGTGGTTAATACACTGGTCAGAATCAGTAGTGGTCATACACTGGTCAGAATCAGTCGTGGTCAGACACAGGTCAGAATCAGTCGCGGTTATACACTGGTAAGACTTAGTAATCGAAATATACACTGGTCAGACTCAGTCGTGGATATACGCTGGTCAGAATCAGAAATCGAAATATAGACTAGTCAGACTCAGTCGTGGTTAGGCCTATACACTAGTCAGTAAACATATAATTTTTGTACACACCGTGAAGAACCTTTGATCTGTCAAACAGTACAAGAAGTCGTTAACAAGAAGACATTTTAATTAGCAAAGCGATATGAGCATACAACAGCATACAACAGAAATAAATGAACCTTAAAAGTGAGGCGCCAACATATTATGTTTCACCCAGCATTTGACGCCTTGGGCTTAGGAAGATAGGGCGGTCCGCCCCAGGGGGTACAGTAGAACCCGGTTGTGTCGACGGCCTCGGGGTTTTTCCAAAAAGCGTCGAGATAACCGATGATCGAGATAAACGAAAAACCAAAATGGCGACAATCTATTAACATGTGCTTGAAATTTCTTTATGTACACGATGTGCGTTTATAAATGAGAATGTACATGCACGTGTTTTTGGAGTTTTTTTTGTTTGTTTTTTTGACAACAGCGTTACCGCGATTTGTTTGATGGTTTGATGAAGCAATCAGCATGCTATAATAATGGACATACATGTCAACACAAGGAATATGTGGGGTGCCACTTTTTAGGAGGATTATCCCATAATTCCGGATTCGTGAGGCAAAATATTTTTCAGCTCCGGATTCATGAGTTTTTTTATTTTCTCTCGCTCCGGATTCGCCAGTTCAGTTTATTCAAATACGGATTCTGTTGTTTTTTTTTTTTTAAATCAAACTGTAAGAAAGCGTGAGAGCCTATTAAGTATTAAGCGACAAATGGGTTCGCTATAAATAGTAAATAGAACAGCTAACCCTAAACCTCTCGTTTGTTTGCAAGTCTCTCGCACCTCGTTTCTTGCTGTGTCAAAATAATTGCGCGGTCACGATGTTGTCATTTTATTTGTTTGAAGTAGGCTCGTTTCTGTTGTATATAATTTCCAACAAGTCATGGGGGGTCGAGATAACCGAGGATAATCGGAAAAGTTTTTGTCTGGTTTTAGCGCCCTCTCCTATTTTCTTTTTTTAGCCAGGATATGTATATTTATATTATGTAAATTTAATTTATACTTATTTAAATGTGTTTTGTTTGTACTGATGAAGGCATGTGCCGAAACGTTTACTTGTGTATAGCCTAATGTATAATTATTATTAAAGCGTAACTTATATTGTTATATTGACACAATTTCTTCGTGTCTTATTAATCTAAGACTAAGACAAAGAGATACTTTGGAGGTTCCACTTCAAACACACGACATAACAGGTTTTGGGAGTTAACCGAGGTCGAAATAAACGGGTTCGACTGTACTTATTTGGGGAGGCATTTTCGATCCAATTCATATTAACTTTATGTGGCTTAAAAAAAAAAAATAATAAAATACCTCGTATTCTGTATGCCAGTATGCAATGGTGCTTTTGGTTCATTAGGGGCGGCAAAATAAACGACCGCCCCGCGCCCCAGGTGAAATAAACTCTATCTTCTCCAGCGCTATACACAGCAATAAAAAAAAACTTTCTTTACTGAGTTTACTCTAGTGATATAAATGGTATTGCTAACAAATTTTGTTTTTCAAACAATAAAATATTAAGGTAATGCCTTGCCCAGAGTTTGGTTATTTTCTTGAAAGTTTATCGGTCTTCATTCAGAAGTCAGATGTCATTTTGAAATCCTTTAAATTAACTTCATTTTTGCTAGTGTGTGTGCTCTGGCTGGCAAAATCTTCGGACTGCTAACTGACCGATTTCTCATCAACCTATCAAGCTGAAACTTGGCACATAGACTAGTTGCCGATGACAACATATTATTCTATGATATGTTCATGTAGCCTACATATTTGAATTTTAACAATCGAAGTTCTGGTATTGTAAACACAAGGAAAAATAAATTAAAATTAGGGTACATTTTTTTTTTTTCATGGATAAAGGATGGAGAATTGACTTACATATCACAATAATTATTACTTTTCAGCATCTACTAAGATGTTTCTTCAAACATTCACTTTCATTAATAAAATAAGAGCTGCTCGGCATTAACCTTTCAACCACATTTTACAAAGTGAAAATGTGATCCTAGAATGCCATGTAAAGGCTACATTTCAACAACATTAATTACCCAATCAATAGCTGGGATGTGTTACATTCCAACAACACCAATTTACTTATAGCCGGGATGTGCTACATTCCTAAAACATTAATTAATCTATAGCTGGGATGAGCTACATGTCTGATCTAAGGGTGAATCTGTCTGGTGTTTTTTTTTTTATTGACTGTGGTTGGTCTGCATTTTTACCAATATGAATTTGGTTTTAATTAGAAATTAGTAGCAACAACATGCAGAAGGCTAAATAAACACTTGAAAATACAAATTAAACATATAATAATTGAATACCTATAAAGACATTTTTTTATAAGTTTAATATTTCTTAAATTATTAACAAAAAGAGGATATCTTTTTGACAGAAGTATTGCTTTGAAGGAAGCATGGATAACAACTGTCTTTTTTAAAGCATAAAAACAATATCTTTAACACATCAAATACTGCAGTTCTAAGGATGGGAAGCATACACTTTTGAACACAATATTTTCTACCTTTAAATCTCAATTAGTTGTTTAACTAAGGGATATATTCTGAAATCTTATAATGGGAAACTAAAAATGTGACATAAAAAAATTATTGCAATTTTATCATGACCAAAAGTAACAATAACAAAGTAAGTAAAATTTTATAAATAGAAAAATTCCTCCATGGGCTCTCAAAACACTCTCAGTTTGTTTATTGAGTAAAGCCACCCTTGGGCTTTCATAACTCTCTCATTACAAATATGCTTATTGATTAAAGCCACCCTTCTCAAAAGCATCTCTGTTGTTTTCGTTAAAATGATCCATGGTCTGTAAAATCATCTCTGTTTGTTTGTAGAGTCAAGTCACCTTTGGGCAATCAAAAACCTCTCTTTTTGATTTACTTAATGGGTTATGCTACCCATGGAATCTCAAATCTTCTCTATTTGTTTACATAGTAAAGCCACCCAGGGGCTCTCAAAGTCTTCTCTGTGTAATAGCACATTTTCCCTCGGTCTATTATATGACATACTGATTTAAGCCTACCAAAAGAAGTGAAAGATAAATAATACATAACTAATCTCTTCAGTTTGACTTGTAAGGTTTTTTATTTTTATTTCATAAATGAAATAGAATTCTATCAATTCAAAGGACAGCTGGACATAAATCCTTTCTATTACATAATTACAATATTATCAATAAGCAGACCATGCCTGTTGGCACTGCATTTAATTTTTTTTTCTTTGCTACATCATACCATTAAAAACAATTTCCTTCAATTGAACACATTTCAACAATTTTTATTGTGTTATTTTGTTGATTCCTTATACTTACAAAACATTAAGCGATGTCTACTTAATCTACATAAATTTCTGAAGGCATTTCATTTTGTGCAAGTCTTTGCATAAAAAAATATAATTATGAATGGTGTGATAAATATTTTTTTAACACACATTAGACAAATGAATGTGTTTTTTTAAGGATGTTGGTAACTGAATGAATGAATTTTTTAAAAAGATTTTAAGGAGAATTGAGATTTAATAAAGGCATTTAATGTTAGTTGAACTGCTAAATGTGAGTATAAGCAAAGATAAAATTTCTATGATTTTGGACTAGGCAGTAGGCATAGATCAAAATCATACCATATGAATAATTATATTTATTTCACAAACTTTTACCAGTAAATAGGTAAAATATTTAGATAATATGATTCTTTATCACATATTTTGCATTGATTATAAATAAATTCAAAGCATGTCAATCAAATTCAACTTCTAGATCGTATATGTCTTTCTCTTCTTCATAATCAGGTGGTGGATTGGCTAGCTGGTAGGTGGCGGAAAAACCTTTCCAGTTGATGGTGTCATCAGAGCGGAAACGAATCAAGAGATATTCTGAAGTTGAGAGGATTGGATCTGGGACCTAGAAGAAAAATACACAAAATAATATACGAAAATAATAAATAACTAACAATTAAGGTCAATATATAAAAAAATGTAGATATCAACTAATGTTTTTTTTTGGGGGGTAACACACATTTAAGGAAGTTTATTTTCTTTTATGTCTAACAACCATGAATCAGCTTTAATTAAGTTAATGTTGTTAATCCATAATAGAAAACATCAGTTTTTTACTTTTACACACCATATGCACATTTCAGTTCAAATTATAAATTTTAATGTATTATTTCAATTCCTTTTCTTTTTTACATTTTTTAAAATGACTTTTTTTTTTCAGTTTTTGCCAATTACAAATCTTAAAATTTTGTTTATATGATTTGGTATTTGACTTGTATAATTATTCAGTAATGACAGTATTTTCATTAATTATTTTGTTTAAAATGTTCATTTTTTTTGGTTGGCATAGCATTTTGGCAAAATGTAATAATTCTGGAAAAGATTTTCTAATGTTGGATTGACTAAAATTGACTCTGTGTATTAACTATTTGTTGTGATACCATTCTTAAAAGCAAACACTAAATGTTTCAATGATCTATAAAATGTTTGATGTTTACCTCACTTCCACAGAATTCACCAATAACATTGGAAGAATCTTGAGGGCCATCAAAGACTGTCACAGCATCATACCTTGAAAATAACATTAAAGCATTACCTGAGAATAATTCAAGAATTTACAAAACCAAATAAATTTACTAACTCTGATATTTCTAAAAATGACATTTTTTGTAGAGACCATATAATTTAACTTCTTCTATAATATTGGAAAGAGATTTGACTCTAATGTGATACTTTTAATTTCAATCATTTTGAGTCATACTAAACAACTCCTTGTGTACACTTTTACTCACAAATATTTCTGAACACTGTTTAATTTATTTAATAGGAAACATAGCATACTTAATTTATTTATCAAACTACTTAAGTATGCATCTTTCAATCTGTGGGTCGCAAACCCTTTGCGGGTCGTATGACCCTTCCCCAGGGGTTGCCTAAGGCCGCCGGAAAACACACATACTTTACAGTTATGAAGTAACAACCAAAATAGTTTTATGGTTAAGGGTCGCTGCAACACGAGGAATTGTGTTAAAGGGTCAAGGCATTAGGAAGGTTGAAAACACTGGTCTAGGTAAAAAGTTTAATATATTAATTTCCCCGCTGTTAACAGATGCTTTTCAAGAAATGTATGGTAATAAATTGGTATTCTAATCATCTGTATACAAAAAAGTCAACTTATCCTCTTGAATCAAATGTTCCATTTTTTACATTAAAATTTCCTTAAAAACTCCTAGTCATACAAAAAAGCTTAATTTACTATTTGAACACATGACAAAAAAGGTACATGTCGTGATCACTTTCCTGCTTGAAATACTTATATAAATCATATTCCTACTTACCCACATTCTGCTTCTTCCTCTAGATCAAAGACATTAAATCTAAGTTGTATGCGATGACCTTCCTTAGCCTGTAACTTCCATTCACAATCCTCCCTATTATCGTAATTGTGATCTCCAAAGCGAGCATGAGAAACAATATCTTGTGGTGAAGAAGTAGCTAGTAAATGTGCCCCACACACTACAAAATAAATAGTAAGGTTATAAAAATTGAAAATCTGTAATCAGTATTGACACCAAAAAATCAGAAAGCTGCTTATTTTAAAGTAAAGACGTACATAATTGGGAGAGACTATGGATAGCCATAGATCTGCATCAGAATCAATGTGGTAAGAATTTTTTTAATTTTGAACGAAAACATATCTTGGTATCACAAATATAATAGTTGAAGCCATGTTCTCATAATGTTCTTTAGACAATTGAGGTTGAGCAGTACAATTAATGTAAGTTGATGTACCCTCATCTATTGTTTGCTGATAGTACTATGTCTTAAAGCAGACCTGCACAACATATGGCCCACCAGCACCCCCTTTGCGGGGTGCGAAGTTACAAAACATTCTTTGCTATTATTATTTTCTTAATAGCCTTCCCCCTTTTTTTACAGTATTACAGCTGCCTTACATTTTTGAGTTGTGCAGGCCTGTCTTTAAGGATTAAATATGACCAGCATTATGGTTTATAAGTATAAGAGATTCACCCACAAACTGTGGTCAGCGGAAAAAATCGGCAGATAAAAAACACGGTCAGTTGGCAACTTTCAATCCAACCGGAATTATAGCCACTTCCTTTTATTAATAATTAAATCATCTTCCGGGGCAAGCTCTTTGTTGATAACTTTACAATAAGTACTTTTTAAAAAAACAGCGATATAACTCCAATTAAAAAGTACTTATTGTAAAGCTAAAATAGATGAAGCCATGGCTTGGCCTTCAGTACAAGAACTAATAGAAATATTTTTCAAAGCTTTTTAGGAGAGGATTTCATTGATAATGATGATGATTTTAACATCCCCATGATGATCTAAGTTCAAATTCTTCTTCTAGTGAATCTGATACCAGTCCTAGTGGTACTGAAGTAGACCTACTGTTAAACTTCAAGCCAGGCCCAGAGGTTGGGCAAGGACTGATTGAATTTTAGTCACATAAGCTACAGATTATAGATGAGAACTAACAGGTTAGACAACCCAAATCAGCTCCACGGCTCCTTTTTAAATGTTTACTTGTCAATAATAACTTTCTTTGCCTGAGATTTTGTATGATATACTTGGTTATAGCTGTGGTCCAGTTCCTTATTTTTTCAGTAATAAATTAACTAAAATTACTTAAATTGCTATCAGAGGTTTTATTGTAATCAAAATCATAGCAAACTATAAATTTTCTGAAAGATAAATGATTTTGCTACAACATTTATAATAGTATTTTAATGGAATCTATAAAATGATGTTATGACAATTACGAGCACTTGAAAGCAAGACATTTTGTTAATTTTTCTTTCTTGAGCACTCCAAGGTCAAGGACACTCAACAAATTTTGTTTTACGGGGTGGGCAATATAGCCAACTTTATTCCCATTCATTTAACTTACAAAAAATATATACTTATTGGGATCTTGTATCAATATTTCTATGTAATTTTATGCTATTTCAAAAGGCACTCAAAAAGCTCTGGAAAGTTTGCACACTACAGAATGATCTATGCCACAGTTTGTGAGTTAAATATGTTGCCACCCTAGGGCTATATAAAAAAAAAATATTTGATCACCCTGGGGTTTATAAAAGAATAAATATTTGACCACCCTGGGGTATATAGTAAAAGATTGAAAATGTTGCCACTTTGAGGGTATATAAAAGATTATATATGTGAACACCTAGGATATATAAAATATAATTTATGTTTAACCCTGGGGGCAATTTAGCCCTTGTTGAATAGAAACTTGTTTAACCCTTAATCCAAAAAAGTCCCTTATTCTTATTTTAAATTTTTACACAAGAACAACAAATTTAAGTAATGACCTGTGTCATGCTCAGCCTCAAAGCCTTTCCTCTGAACTGAAGCATCAGAGAAGAAAAGCATGAACATTCTATTTCCACTGGAGGTAACTGGCTCTGGAACTATAGCACCACAATACTTCCCCATTGAGCGGGAATTACTGTCATCTCCATCAAAAACAACCACATGATCATATGTACATTCCTATAAAGAAAACAAAAATTAGATAGATGCATAGCTAAATTGGTGATAGAAGATAAATATAAGAAAGAATTTCCATTGGAACTAATTTCCATTGATCAAATTCATTTCAAACAAACTTCAGTTCAAATTAACTTCCATTTGAACTCACTTCTATTGCAACAAACTTCTACAACATTTCTTCTTATAGATTGGTTTTGTACCAATTTTTGATAACCATAAAAACACAGGTACAAATAATAAAATTAAAAATCAATGAAGAATTTTATTATGAAAATGTTCAGTTAATGTTTTTTTCTTCCCTTTTCAAATCTTTATCTCTGTTAGAGCCATAGCTCAAAGGAAAATTACAATACTGTTTAGAAAGATTGTTTATGCTGTTACTCTTACCTGATGTGGCTCTAGCTCAAAAACTCTGAACCTAAGTCTTATTCTGTGTCCTGGCACTGTGGTGAAATGCCAAACACAGTCTTTCCTGCTTGGATAATAATCAGGATAGTTGGGACTTGACACTACCCCATAGTGAACCCTGATCTCAAACTGACAGCCACCTGAAGCACATAAATCAGAGGGGGAATATCACAGAAAGTTGTCGCATTTTTATTTTTTTTCTTGAAATGAATACAGTTGCGTGTTTCCAAATAATTGTTAAGAGAGCTGGTTTTAATTAATATCTTACTTTTAATTCTATATCGTTTCCAGCATTTATATTTTTACCTTCTTTACATCCATGCAAATCATCATGTAGAGTAAAGCCATTGTGGCAAGCACATTGGTAGCTTCCTACAGTATTCTTACAAATGTGTTGGCATCCACCATTGTCAACTGTACATTCATCTTTGTCTGAAAAGAAAAATTAGTTTGAGACTTTGATAGGAATATATTTTAAACATTAATATTTCTTGAAAAAGAAGAAATTTTAAGGTTTCTAATTTTAAAAATAAAAATAATAATTTAATATTCTCTTTACAACCTATTTTAATTTAATACTAGAATTAAAACTTCTGTCCACACAGGTAATGGAATGAAAGATTTGCAAGAGAGATGATGTTGACATTATGTATTGACACAATCAGCTAGCTGTTTCAAATTTAACAAACAATAAAGTTCTCTATTAACAATAAAACTACTATTAAAATGCTATTTCAATATTTATTCATTATGTTAAGGGGTAAATAAAATAAAAGGGAACATATTTAAACTGTGCTGCTGTTTCAAAATACATTAAAAACAAATTTTATGGTTAATTTTAAAAAGAGAGATTGTTTCATTGATAGTAGAAAATAGTTAAATTAATAAATGAAATGATTAAATATTAATGCCACCATGTGCCTTACAAAACTTTGCAAAATCACTCACGGAATTTTGTATTGTAAAAATAGAACCCAGGGGATAGCAATTGTGCCACCTTGCAAGCTCCATTCAAAGAGCAATGAATAATACTAATATTACTAAAAATGAATAATCTAACAAATGCAATTATAATAATACCTGTCATGAATGTTGCAGTAAATCCTGTTTTCTGCACAGAATTGTCAGAATTAAACTCAATCCTGAGACTGTTTTTCTCAGAGGTAACAGGAGCTGGAAATGTGTATCCACAGAATATTCCTAGAAGCTTCAGTTCACTCCCCACACCACCACTACTCACACGAACAGAATCGTATTCACAATCTTGCTGTAATGACAAAAAGCAAACAGATTTTTAAAATTGTAAAAAAATTATTATTCAATTTAAAAAAAAATATATCATCTGATTGATCATAAAATAAAGAGAAGAGGCCATTCTCTGTATGATTTCATAAGTAAAAACTTATTAAAGAAATAGAGACAATGGATGCTTAACAGATGTACTTCTGTTTGAAGATATTTAAAAAATAAATACACAATAAAAAGGAAAAAAATTGATACACAATATTGAAAATAATCTTAACAAAGAGTAGGCCTGGTGTGCTCTTGGATAAAGAATTTCCTGTGACTATTTAAAAAAAAATTATATCCGCCTTTCTTACATTATGCCCTTCTAGATCAAAGTGTGTGAAATTGATGTTTATTTTGTAGTCACTTGGAGCAACTATTTCCCATACACAGTTCTTATTGGATGGATACAAATTAGGGTAAGATGGGGAGGTTATTGTCCCATTCTCAGCATCAATGTAACCACCACAGGCATCTGAAGGGAAAAAATGATAAAAAATGTGTACTTTAAGCATGAAGTTTATTGTAAATAATTAGCCTACCATTATATCATTATGCTTTAACGGCTTAAAAAACTAACATAAATAAGAGTATCATATCTCTCACTGTGGTTTGTCTTTTCAATGTGGTTGGATTTTTTCTTTTTTTTTCTTCAAAAAGGGTTTTCAATAGAAAGAATTGCAAAGTGGGCACAATAAAATCTCCAAATATGTCTAAACAAAATGAAACTAAGAGTGTATATTTTCAAAAGATCCACAGCATTTTTATCAGTCCCGTAGTTCCTAACGATATCCTACCTTCACATCTTTTCCCATCAGAATGTAGCTCATAACCTATCCTGCATGAACAGCGGTAACTTCCAAGAGTGTTGACACATTCGTGGTCACATCCATGGTCATCACTGCTGCATTCATCATACTCTTATAGTTACAGCAAGGTCAAAAGAAAGGAAAAAATTCTAAATGTTTAATAAGGTTGATTTTTTAAACAATTATATTATCAAATTGGACTCTCTCATAACACTGATTTCCCAATCCTAAATTATCTCCTAATTAAAAAAAGGTTCATTAGGCCTAATATTTAAAATAGAATTTCATGTTCTATTTACGTCAAAGAATGTGTGCCAACAGTAATTTTAAAACCATGGCAACAATCTTACTGTATTGGCTGACCTCCTTGAAATGCATTGTTGTTAGTACTTAACATACAATATATTTTATTATTTTAATCTTTTTATGTGCAGTAAATGTGTGGAATCTTGATTACAAATGGTTAGGGTTATTTTCAGTGGCTGTGATATTTCTTTCCTCCTTGCAAGATTTCTCCAACTATGATTTATATATTCTGGCAATGTTTTGTATCTTCCTAGTGATGTCAATGGTTCACGGAAACCTACCTTTCATGAATGCTGCAGAAAAACCAGGCTTTTGAACTGAACTGTCACTAACAAATTTAACATACAAATAGCGACCAGTAGATTTTATGTCTTCTGGAATCTTGTAGCCACAGTAATTGCCAATCAATGGTGAATTTTCTGTGAAACCATCTCTGACCTCAAGATAGTCATACACACAGTCATCATGATTCTCTATCTGTGGGCAAAAAAAAATTAAGAAAATTTGATTTTTCTAAACAGCTATTATTGATGATATAGCACTCTATATAATTAACATACTTCTGAAATTAATGAAATAATCTCACCTCAAAGGATTGGAATTTCAGCGCCACAGTAAATTCTGCTCCAACTGTTATCTTCCATACACAAACTTTTTGTGGCCTGTAATCATCTGGGTAATTTGGGCTTGTCAGGAAACCTTCCTCTTTAGTTATTTCCCCTCCACAAATTGCTGGTCAAAATATATTTCAAACATAATTTTGAGCATCCTGTTTACACATCACAATATCTAGTAATCAGCTGACCTGTTATTTATTAAAAAATTTAAACATTTAGAGCCAATTTTGGTTCTAGTAATCAGGGACAGGAAACACTTAGTTGGAAAATTTAAATCAAAAGATGACTTGGATTTGCCCTTGATTAATTTCTTTTTGTGTTTTACTGATGCTTTTTAGAAATTTCTTTTAAATCTAATAATTTTGTACAAAATTTATATTAAGATATATTTATCCTTATATATTTTTTTAATTTAAAATATAAATTTTAAAAGAAATATGCACATTTAAAAAGGTATATAACTTTTTTTGTAATATTAAAAATATGAAAAGTCTTTGGATTTTTTTTCACAGGAGAAATTACAATTCTCTGTGTTATTTCATGGCAAGTGGAAAAAAAAGGGGGGGGGGGTGTGCACGGGGGTGTGGGCCTTGAAAAGGTGAGGGATTAAATTCAGGGGATTTAGTAGAAAATCTTTGATGTTTTGCACACAAAATTTTTATAAAGGTTAAAAAATGGCTTTTTAAAAATTGAAAAGTCTTTGGATTTTTTTTCACAGGAGAAATTACAATTCCCTGTGTTATTTCATGGCAAGTGGAAAAAAAAGGGGGGGGGGGTGTGCACGTGTGTGTGTGCCTTGAAAAGGTGAAGGATTCAATTCAGGGGATTTAGTAGAAAATCTTTGATGTTTTGCACACAAAATTTGTATAAAGGTTAACAAATGGCTTTTTAAAAATATCAACAATTTCTAAAAACATAATCAATTGTAACTTTGATTACTATTATTATCACACCTTCATAGGAAGCAGAAAAACCCTGACCACCTCCATTCCTTGATCTATGTTCTATCCACATGCGAGTTCCTGTTGAGATTATTATTTCTGGCAACTGGTCACCACAGAATCTACCTAAACGAAAAGAAAATAGACCATCACAAACTATGTCATAAATTAAAATTTGGAAAATTTTATTAACTATTATTACTTACAAAAGCTTCACCATCATTAGGCTGATTGTAATTTACCTTTCATCAAGTTTTTTGAATGGAAAAGTAGAAGTTGTACATTTGGGACTTAAATTAAGACCATTAACAAAAACACTCTAAAACCTCTAATGATAAACAACATATAGGTAAATATAAGTAGGCCCTACTGTATGACTTAAAAGCGTGAATAACAAATGAAACAACAAAAGTTTCAGCTGAAATGCATGTTTTGTAAATGTTAAAATTATGGTCCTTGATAAGCATAATACTAGTACTAGACGGTGATGAGCTATTATGTAATTTTAAATAAGCAAAATGATTGTAGGGGAAAAAAATCAGTTTGTGGCTTTGGACCTCTCATAAATAATGGTGGAACAAGAAATGTTTAGGCTTAAAATGAAGACAGGTCAATTAAAAGGAAGTTTCAATAATAATATTTTCTAAGACAGAAAAAAAGACACAAAAGAGTATTATTACATATTCAATTGTTTCCATTAAATTGTTCTTTTGTTTTATAAAAACTAATCTTTAACTTTAACAATCATGCTGCTCTCAAAATGAATTCTTTGCTAACATAATATATAAAAATGGTTCCCTATTCAAAAAAAGATTGAAAGTTCCTGAACGAGCTAGCCAAACCACAGTGACATGTAATAAGGATGACTTTTCGAGCAATCAAAGATGCATTCTCCCCTTACCTAAAAGTGGAGATTTAATGTAGTGGCCATCTCTAACTTCAAGGTAATCCGTTTCACAGTTGTAGGATTTAGGTATGTCAAGACGTGATATATTCAAGACAATCTTTTCTCCATGAGTGGCTGAAATGCGCCATTGGCACAGCTCTGGTGTGCCTGCCTTTGGAGTGTGACCAAAACTGTCTATAGCCTCTTGAAGAGTTCGTCCACAAGCTGTGTAAAGGAAGTAGGAATATTTTATTTAAAAATGTTTATGGATCAATCCTTTTTTTACAATTTTATTAAGCTTTATATACTTCTCTGTGATGAAATCAGGCTGTATCCTCATATTTTATATACCAGTGATGTAGTAAACACACCTTGCTAGAATGTACACCAAACCTTTTTTAGTATGAGTTATTTTACTTTTTTTTTTATTGTTGTCTTTTGCCTAGCTCTCATAGTGCGTTCAACAATGTCACCATTGTATCACAGTAACTCCCCCCCCCCTCCCCACACCCCTCAATGCCTTGAATGAGTTAAACTCATTGAATTTTGATCCTTCTTGCGCCAATTAATTCATTGGTCTGGATCACCCTCATGATTGAGATCAGTCTTTTATATACTTCTCTGTGATGAAATCATGCTGTATCCTCATATTTTATATACCAGTGATGTAGTAAACACACCTTGCTAGAATGTACACCAAACCTTTTTTAGTATGAGTTATTTTACTTTTTTTTTATTGTTGTCTTTTGCCTAGCTCTCATAGTGCGTTCAACAATGTCACCATTGTATCACAGTAACTCCCCCCCCCCCTCCCCACACCCCTCAATGCCTTGAATGAGTTAAACTCATTGAATTTTGATCCTTCTTGCGCCAATTAATTCATTGGTCTGGATCACCCTCATGATTGAGATCAGTCTATGATAGCTTCCCCCCATCGTAGATATAAGCCATGGTGGAAGGCAGTTTCATCCTTTTCCATTCCTAACAGGCACATGGAACACATTGTACTACTTGTGAATCCTTCATGAGAGAAGATCAGCTGGCAAATTAACCTGTTGAGTTTTGAGCCATTAATGTTACTGTTTTATTTTAATACGTTTTAATACTATAACTTTAGATTATATTGCATTAGTCATGTCAATCTCTGATCCACCTTACAAAAAAAATTAATAAGTATGATCAATGTGTTTTGCCTAGTATATATATTCTTATATAAATATATATATATATATATACATATATATATATATATATGACTTCCACAACGTACAGATGGAAAGTTCATTCCACAACGCACAGCTGAAAAGTTCATTCTACAACATACAGATGGATCAAAACAGGGCGGAAACAGCTGCAAAAGAGCAAGGAGGAAGGCCGGTAAATACTGCTCCAACGCATTTGTGTGTGGGAAATGTAACAGAGACTGCCATTCGAGGATTGGTCTCACCAGCCACACCAAGAGCTGCAAGCAATAAAGATAATCTATCGTCTCCCGCAGACGGAAAGATGCCATACATATATATATATATATATATATATATATGAATCCCACAACGTACAGATGGAAAGTTCATTCCACAACGCACAGCTGAAAAGTTCATTCTACAACATACAGATGGAAAGCTCATTCCACAACATCCAGCTGGAAAGTTCATTCCACAATGTACAGCAGTGAAGTCCACATCCTCTCCCCACCCCCTCCCTCAAACCTTTGAAGGCAAGGAGAGGAGACTCCATTTTTGTCTTGTAACAGATCAGAACATATCTATCTACAACAAAACAATATGTAATGATGATAAATGTCAGGTTATTATGAGAGGCCAATAATCCATGATCATTAGAACCAAGCTTTCAAATTTATAGGTAAAGTTTGATATATCCCATTCCAGCAAACTTTGACTTTTCATGCTTGAAAGGTTTTGATTTCTATGAATTCTTGTAAATTTAATTTTAATAAATAGGTTTGTTTCATTCTTATGAAATTGGTTGTAGACTTCTTTTCAATTACATATATGTACATATGAAAGAGAATTCTTTGATATGATGTTGTTTTTTTATCTATAATTAAAAGCCCTCGACAACAGCATGTGTATACTCATACTAGTTTCATCGACCAATAAATGTAATTTCACCAATAACTCTTATAGATATGTCTCAAATCAAATATATATACTGATTTATTTTGTATTGGAAAAGTTCAAAACACAATGGCCAGTACTTTGCTAGTGTAAAGTCAAAGACACATTAGAATATTTTGTTTCCAAACAAAATATTTGGATAAACAATAGTGTTTTTTAGCTTTAAAAAAAAATGGTGTTATTAATAATCAATTGTTGTTTTTTAATGATTCTCATTATAAAGACCCCAATAAATTGATAAATTTGTAACTACTTGTAACATTTCTTTGGAGTCTCTGAAAAGTTAAACATGAAAAATTACATTGACAATTTACTTACTCGGACATCTATAGAGCTTGTTGGCTTGCCTAATGTCTCCAGGGCTAAGTCTAACACGCTGTCCAATCTCTGGCCTCACAACAACTCCTGGTTTTCTCTGTGGCAGGATGGTGTCTAGGTAAGTGTTCCGGGCAAAAGTATTTCGTGCATAATGCATGATACTGTAGATATATGTGTAATTAATTAATAATCCCCAGCAGAAAAAAAACACTTTAAAATAATAAAATACTTGCTATGACTACCTAGCTTCATTACATTAAAAGTGTGATTTTGATTTGTCCAAAAGAATCTCTAGAAATTAAGTTTATTAGTCCATAAAATCAAATCATTAAAATCTCTTCACTGGTCTTAATCATCCCATAAAAGAAGTAGAAATCATTTTTTTTAAAAATATAGTAACAGTGAAATAATCATTCAGATTTTGTTATAATTAGCATTTACCTCTCAAAATAACATTTATTTCTTAATTGTATCCATGTTAGTTACTAACAGAGGGACCTTACTGATTTTTCATGAGTCACAAAATTTTGTGGGGATAGAATTTAGTTATTAAAAATAAATTAATATACCTTGACATGAAAGTATATAGGTCTACATTAAATCTTTTTTTTTTTAATTTCAAGTTTTAAAAAAGAATACTGCTGTGAACATAAGAGGTATATTTATTATTTTAAAAAATACCTCCCAAAATCATAAGTCTCCCCTAAGGAGTTAACATCTGCACTTGTCAGTTTATTGAAGTTGTATTCTTGACCTGCAGAGGAAAAAATTAACAATAAATCTATGTAAAACTATTGAAACTTTTATTTGTTTAGTTCTGTGAGTGTTGTAGCTCTAGTGCATATGCTATGTATAGACTTTCATCTTAATCAATTATACCCCTGCATATTAACAGGTTTTTTGGTCCCATTTTGGATTTCTAATAATTTAAATCTCTAAATGTTTTGTACCCTCTAGGCCAGTGCTGTCCAACCCCACAGCCCACGGGTTGCATGCTGCCCATGAGCTGATTTTAACTGGTCACCATAGCTGGAGAAATTCTTATGATGTGTGTAAAAATTAAAGGATTTAAGGTTGATAACAGTTTCAAAGTACATTATTTGATTTAGTATTGTTGGGAAATGACACGAGAGCACATGAGAAGTTTTAACATGTAAAAGGGGGAGGTCACGAAAGCTAAAGGGTCAAATGGTTTGACAGGAAGCATTAATTTATGTTAAGCCCATCAGAAAAGCAACTATTTGAGAACTTGGTTGACTAAATTGGATACTATCTTCTCCTTCTTTCTGTTTTGTACATGGGAGGCATCATGGGGTATCGGGTATAATTACTTACGGCATTGGGGAAGATGAATAGAGAAACCATAAGTAATTTGATGTGTAGCTTTTTGATCATTTTAATAATTTCATGCCCCCCCACCCCAACAGGACCAAGTTAGGTGAAATAGATAGGTGAGCGTAGCATGTTAACTACTGCCAGAAAAGTCTTCAGGTCAGAGTAATTGAGATGGGAGCTGGGGTACTAAATGTGTCATAATAGAATGACTATAGTGGACAGTGTGAACTGTTTATGGCACGTAATTATTTAAATAGATAGACCAGCAAGGTATGGGAGAGTGTGTGACCATCCTGCATTTTATAATGTTGGGGGACAACTACCTGGTATTCAGAGATCACAGTATGCAACGTTCAAAGAGTTGACAGCAGGTTACTTGTTGTGATTGTTTGCAGTTAATGTAATTAATCAGGGAGGAATTGAGAGACACAGTAGACACATTCTTGAAATAATTTTTTAAAAATAAAAACAGACAAAAGAATACATGGCCAAATAAATTCTGGATGACGTCATGAATTTCCACAACTATGGAAATTTTTTAACAAAATTTTGACCATGTTTTTGGAAGCACCCTACATCAGTGAAAATTTAACGAGGACAGGTGCTACTGATAACTACCTCAAATTAAGAGAATCGCAAAATGTATCAATAAAAAGGGCAACAGATTTTAGGCGCTTTATTTATATTCTTGATCAGTTGATAATGCTATTTGATATATGATTCTTAATGCACGCCCCTTTATTAAACAAAACACATTTATAATGAATTAAGAGGATTCAATTATTTTTAAGCATCCACTGCTCTTAAGTTTATTAGTCCATGAAATAAAATCATTAAAATCATTTGCTGCAATTGTTTGTTTGAAATTATTTATCCTCATGCAGGGAGAGGCACAGCTAAATCCATCTCTTATAGCCTCTGCAAAGTTGCTGTCAGCAATATCCATCTGTTCTGCTGTGCCATACAAATGACCTGCTTGTTGTCCTGGCCACCCCAAAGCCAACATTGTGGCCCAAAATTAAAGTGTATGTTGACATTTTATGACTAGTTTGTAATGCCAGCAGTTGGATTCCCTGTTACTTTCTATTAAGTAAATATATCTACTTCTTGTTCCGTCTAACTTTCTACCCCGTATCAGCATGCTCTCAATCTCTCACTATGTATATTATATATATTATTTCACAATGAATTTATTGTATATAAGTTTAAAGTATTTTGCATGCCTCAAGTTAGGTAGGCCTATGTGTGTAAATAAATAATTTATTTTTAATGGTGTGAGATCCAGTCTTCTGACCTCTTTCAGACAATGTAGAATATTGTAGACAACATTAAAAAAAAGGGTGAAAGTTAAAGATATAGAGCAAGAAATTAATAAATTTTAAAAATTTAAATAAATATATATTTTTTTAGATCCTTAAAAAATTTAACATTTATAAAGAAATGTGTTCTTGAGACTTGAAACGCAGTGAATATAAAATGTTGAAAATCCCAAAGGAACATTTCATAAACTTTTGAATTTTCAAGAAAGGAAATATATTTTTAATGTTTATTTAATATTTTTACACAAAATATATACTTTATTCTATTATTTCAACAATCAAATGATTTTTTTTAAATTTGATATATCTGAAAATATTGTGTTACTCAAGGTGATAGACTAAGATGATCTTGTATTGTAGACTATCTACCTATATGAATTTGAGTTTTGTTTAAAGGTCCATTCCCTTCCAATATGTTCAATTGTGTGAATTTAAAAGTGCTCATTGATGTGATGGCATTTTCTATGTCTATAAAAATAATTTTGTCATTATTATTGATGTTTTCTAATTTACAAGCAGTTGAATTTAAGAAAGAAAAAATTAGAATAAATCAAAAGAAGAATAAATGATTTGAGTCGTGATCACATGTAAAAAATATAAACTAAATAAAACAGAATATATTTTTTCAAGTTCATCCTTATGTATTTGGGTGGAAGCAAAGGGTAAATTTAATGTGAATTTTTATAATAAAAATTTAAAAAATTAAATTGGCCTAAGGGCCAACCAAAAATGATATCAAACATCTTCGGTGGTGGGGGGGTCACCTATTTGTGATGCTGCATGATAACTTGTGACAATGGACGGGGTGTGGGGGGGTGGTGTTAAGAATCTGCCAATCTAGCATGACTTCATTTATGAATACAACCTAATTGTTGAAGCTTTTTATAAATGATATATTTATGTAACATTAAATTTTAAGCCCTTAATAGGTGGAGATCTAATAGTTGACAGTGGTTTCATCTGATGTTGAAATTTTGTATAAATCTATAAATGTTTGGAGGGAAGGGTGGTCTAAAAATGTGTATTTGGCAAAAGATTTAAAATGAATTTAATAATGCTTTCTTAAATTGGAAAAAAAAATAAAAAATTATTAACCAGGGGGTCAAATTGGATTGAGCTTTATGAAAAAAAGGGATATTTTGTACACTGATTGCATGGATGTCCCATTTATTTCATTGTATTAATCTTGAAGATAATTTTTAAAATTGGAATAGATAACTTGTTTCTTGATCAATCCATTTAAAAAGGTAATTTTAAAAAAAAATATTACATATGGTTTTTTAAACATTTTTGGATATTTTACCCTGGAAAAATTATTCTTAAATATTGACACCATTATAATAATTAATAATTAAATTGCTGTCAAAGAAGGCAAAAAGCAAAATAATTATCCAATCGGCTTACCATACGTTGGTACATGCTTTTTGATCAGGGAATTTCCTATCCCATAAGTGATGCGTATATGGAAGCCGAACAGACCTCTTCAATCACACGATTTTATATAGATGTTATTTGTTTCTGTGTAATTGAGAATGATTTAAATATATTCATTGTGTTGGAAAAGTGAAGTGTGATTTTTGTTACACTTTTGTATTTCTATTGAACTATGAAAAATGTGTTTAATCTTGTTGACAATATGTTCATCCCTTAATGGTTTAATATGAATAGTAAATCAAAAATAATATTGACAACAACAAAAATACTGCCAACATGGAAAAATTTTCAATACAAACCTTCTGATATTTCAATGAAACCAAATTATCATGTCATAATTTATGCGGCATGACTTCACTTGTCCCTTTGCAATTTTTTTTTCTTCTTTTTTCTAAACTTTGTGATTTACCTGGCATAATATTTTTGTAAATGATTTGCACATGGTGATCTCTGTCCGGTCTAGTGTGTTCATGCCAGAATCCAATGACATGCCCCAGTTCATGCACAACAATGCCAAACTTGTCACAGTTCTTGCCAATGGAGATGGCTTGAGCACCATTTCCCCTCTTTCCAACAAATGAACAGCATCTAGTTTTAAATAGTGTGTTTTTATGTTATCATTGTAACATATTAAAAATGATAAAGAGTTTTAGGTTTAAAAAACATAAAAGATGTTAAAATGCATTTCCATAGTTTTGCACATTTGAGAAAGGCAGCATTGTTAAATCACAATGTTTTTTTTGCAATATCTTTATTTGCCTCCTTCATATAAAGGCTAGAAAGAAAAGTCATTTAGATAGTTTAACAGCAAGAAAGAAAGAATTTTAAATAAATAAAGAGGAATTAAATTTAAAAATGAAAGATACAGATAAACAAGGAATAAATGGATATTCTGGCTGATATATATAGAAGCACATTTAATGAACTTGATGTATTGATGTTTGTAATGTAAATTATCTTTCTTACAGTAGCAACCTTAGTTCTGACTACTTTAAATTAAAGATTAGAACTAGAACTTACCCACATGACCTCTCTGTAAAAAGTATATAATGCTGATCTTCTGGCTCCTTTTCTTTAAATGTGATGCATGTATAGTTTTCCCAGTGCCTCATTGCCTGCTTAAAAAGAACTTTGTTGGCACCTGATATCATATAAAACAAACACATTTTATACCAAAAATCTTAACAAAAGGTAGCATTTCAAAATGATAACTTTGCTTGAACATATACATAAGCAGTTTAAATATCCTTTCCTGATCAAAACATTTTTTATAACTTATAAGAACTGCTCTTCAAAACAAGTCAATGAAAGTATGAATAAAGAGTTTGATAAAACATTTGGATCATGTTACCTGAAAAATTGGCCTCTATCATAAAAGGTATGACACCATAATCCCAAAGTCTGTCTTTACTTGCAGTTGCAGCCCTTCTTTCTCTATGTGCTTGAGTCTTAGATTGATCTCTCCGCTTTTTACTCCAATATCTTTGTGTGCTGTTAATGTCTTTTTCATGATGATAAGGTGCCATTTTCTGATGAGATGGATTTTTAGAAAACTGAAAGCTTCTCAACTTGCTCGTTCTTAATGAAAAATTAGCTTTATCGTATAAACTAAAAGCTATTTTCTGTACCTTACAAGTTTTAAAATTGAGGTCTGCTAGTGATTTTTTTAAGCTCCACAAATTTATTTCAGGAGCAAAAAAAAAAAAAAAAAAAAATAAAAATTAACTTTATCGTATAAACTAAAAGCTATTTTCTGTACCTTAAAAGTTTTAAAATTGAGGTCTGCTAGTGATTTTTTTAAGCTCCACAAATTTATTTCAGGAGCAAAAAAAAAAAAAAAAAGGTGCCATGAATACAAATCAGTTTCCTCCTCCATGTATTAGAAGAAAATTAAATATAACATCCTCATTGCTAAAATGTTGAAGTTTTTTGTTTTGTTGTTGTTGGCCTATATAAGTTAGAACATTTAATTTGTTGAGAGAATTCTTCAAATTTTTATTTAAGTGAACATATGACATGACAAAGTAATTTTGATGACTGTCCTGACTCTTACCATATATTGGCTTCTATTGAGACCTTTCCCAACCAACTGCACCACAGCCTACTACAAAAATTCCTATTACAACCAAACCCCTCTGCATCAGTTGATTAGCAGCTTATTGTGTTTTGAACCTGCCTTTCTGTAGAGTTATCTTCTTATGCACAATTTAAAGCAAAACTTTCTGTCCATTGAAAAAATGTTTGTTAAAAAGCAAAACAGTAAAGTACCAATTTTAATTATACAATTTAAAAAAAAAATCATATCAAATCAAGACATCTTTTTTATAATGACCTGATTTTTGTGGGAAAATTTTGTTTTAAAATTGAGAAAATTGCCTACTGACACATTTCAGTTTATATAGGAATAGGAAAGAGAACAGAAAATGTACAAATCTAAAAATAAAAACAATTGAGTAGACTGGGGAGTAGGCTCTGTGGGGGAGCTCGAAAGTGGCAGAATAGGGCCTATATATAATCACATAAGTATAAGTCTTTTTAAAAAAAAAAGATAACCTTAGTTTTCTGTTCATAGGTAGTCTTTTCAGCTCTGTTTGAAGTTGGCTTTACAGTCACAAAACTATTTTTTGTCGAATTCTTGTTGTCGCGATCATGATATCGAAGAATTCTCAACTTTAATTTGATCTCCCTCCATTTAGTTCTCGCCTTTTTAATCTCCTCTCTTAATGTGTTTTTATACTCTCTGCATTGCTTTTTGGGCCTGAAAAGAATATGATGGTTGAAATCAATATGACTAATATGAGTTAAAAGCAGTAGTAGATATGATATCTTGTTTTAAGGCTTTAAACATAATATGAGGCTTCCCCTGAATTTATGATTTGGGAAACAACAGTAAAAGATTTTACAAATTTTAAAAGCATTTTTTTCTATGTCTGATTCCTGACCTTAACTTGCAATATCATGGACAAAATTATAATATTGAATTTATAAAAAGTTATATTCTCAGATTATTTTCTATTTCCATCCTGTTCACACTCAAGCCTATGGATTGATAACAACTGTTGATGAAACATTATTATGAAACAATTTATATGCTCATATTTCATTAATTATAATTAGCTTCAGTTTCAGGCTTCAACACCTGCATAACATTGTAAACCATTCATTGGCATTCATTATATTTTATAAATATATTTATTCATGAAGTTTAAGTACGCAGTATCCATGATTAGATTATGTCTACTTACTTCAGTTCACATGGAGTTTTTAAGTCTATTATTTTTTGTCTTAATACTTTTCTCAGGTAATTTCTGTCACTTTGTAATTGTTTTTTTTGTTCCTTTCTGGTTTTGTAAAACTTGACATCGCCACTGTAATCAAACAGAGAAACATGATAAAAGATTATTTATTTTTAGGGTCATCGATATAGAAAGCACTTCCAGTTTAAGAGATTTTAGGGGATCTCATATTTGGGCATTATAAGTTCATTGCAAATGGAAACTTTTAAAATATAAATAACCAATGTAGTTAATTATCAAAAGGATTTTATAAGTCAAATATTGTCTTTTTTCCTCAAAACAAAAACCTTTAAACAAATTATACCATATAAAAAAACAACCAACATGACGAATTTGTCGGCGGACGTACCATCAGCTTCTGTACTGTACTGTGAATTGTTACCAATTATGGAACTATATAGCGTTTGTTCATCATATTGTAATTTCCCCCTTGAACCAACGGTTTTTCGGTTTAACAACATTTCGGTTACTAGTCAAACTAGGTGTCAGGTGGCTAATAGAAACTCAGTGAAGTGCAAAAGGAAGACGCTGAATGCAGTAGCAATACTAGGGTTTGTACCGGCTAACACCCTCACAGGGTGTCACACCAAATGGAAAATTGAAAATTTGATAGAGCTCGCTTCAGTCGGTTTCACGACAGATTGTAGCTAAATACTAGATCTGGTGGGCCAAGAGTGAGATTTCACCCAGAACATGGTGTCACCAGAACAGAGGGCTATCAGAATAGGGGTGTCAATGGGTGACACCATCCCTAGTTATGCCACTGGCTGTGATGAAAGATTACAACATTCAAATGTGGATACTTGACTTTTTTAACAAATCGCCCACAATACATCAAGGAGAATAACCAAATATCATTTGCTAGAGAAATAAGTACCGGCTCGCTTAAAGGTTGTCTTCTCTCCCCTATCCTGTATCCCTATCCCTACTATAAAAGCAAGATTTTTCGACAAAAGAGACCGGAATTAATGGACAACTTACAATTAACCTTGAAATTGACAATAGTGAGGCTGATACAATCAATATCCCTAGAAAATTTGGAAACTATTTTTACCCCACCCCAACCCCCCCCCCTCCCCCCCGAGGCCCCTGCTAGGGAGGTTTCATGATTTTCTTCACTACCAAATTACGTCATTTTCCATTGTACTAGAACGTCAAATTTGATATCATAGAAGTTGATATCACAACACAACGCAAACTATTTTGTTCCAATTTGTAAACAGGTTCAAAAGGGGCCTTGGGGGTCAGATCGGAAAGGGGGTGGGTGAGGAGGTCGGGAGAATCATGTATGGCTAAACGGTAAAATTCATTAGGAGAATAGATTTAAGACACGACGTCACTTGCGTTCATTGTCATTCTAAATCAGAGGTCCCCAAAATTTTTTGTCTCGTAGACCACTTGCCATGTTTTTTCGGTTTTGGGTAGACCCCCTGCTTATCTGATATTGATTTTTTTTTTCGTTGACATGGACCCCTTGCAAGTTGTCGTCGACCCCTGGGGATCAATATAGACCCCTTTTGGGAACCTCTGTTCTAAATTCTACGATATGCTGTTTTTTTTTTTTCCACAGCATTTTCATTTGAATATGAGGCATATTAATTTTGTGAACGATGCACACCAAAGAAGAATAGTTATTTAAACGTTTTTCAACCAAGTAGCTAATGTCTAATGTGTAATAAGGGGGAGAGACGGCAATCATGTGATAAAAATGGAAAGGGGCGAAACGAAGTATGGGAAAACCTTTAAGAAAATAAAACAACAACAACAAAAAACAACAAAAAAACAACAAAAAACAAAACTGTCGGCAAGAAGCCTTCGAACAAACAACAGTGACAACAGAAGGGGTAATAAGGGGAGAGACTGCAATCAGGTTTTTACTCATTTTATTTTGTAATAACCTGATTGCAGTCTCTCCCCTTATTACCCCTTTTTTATCTACCTGACTGCTACTTCTTGTTTGTTTCCGTCCCATTATTTTTTATTTACTTTTGTTTCTTCTTACGTTTTTCCTTTTAGGCTCTTGGCACGTCCCTTCTGATATCTCTCTCTCATCAACTTTCTCTCATTCTTACATTACTCTTCTGACTTTTTCCGCTTTAGCGACATCCCCTTTCCCCTGGTCCGTCACTACTCCATTATGCCTTCCTTCAAAACCACAATGAATCAACTTCGTTCCTTTATCTTAACTGTCTTTTGCTTACTTCCACCGAACCTAGCCACAGACTGTAAGGAACTTGCATTCACTCTTTTTAAGAAAACTAGGTACAATGTACATCTCAATTTCCTTCACAACTTCATACGTCTCCGCATTGTCCCTAAAGGCTTTACGAGTAATTTCAACCCGGTTTTTTCTCTTATTTATAGGTTTCAGGTTTAACCCTACTCTGTTTTACTCATTTTATAGTGACAACAGAAAGAGCATATAAAGCCTTTGTCCGTCCGGTTTTAGATTATGCATCTTGAGTCTGGGACCCATTTACCCAGAAGAGCATTGACAGGTTGGAGGCGGTCCAGCGACGAGCAGCACGCTTTGTCCTAAACCGCTACAGGAATACCTCTAGTGTTGGCAGCATGCTGGAAACACTAGGCTGGTGACCATTGGAGGAACGACGACGACAATCCAGGCTCTCCATGATGTACAAGATAAATAATGGGCTGGTCCACTGTTCCAGTCTTAAACAGAAACTAGTCCTTCTCCCCCATAGACAGCGACGAGGCCATGACAGGCAATTCAGGCTCACACCAGCAAGAGGCCAGTATAGGAGCTGCTAATTCCTGCCCAAGACAATCAGGGACTGGAACAAGCTTTCAAAAGGAACGGTTGAGGCGACAACACTAGACACATTTGAAATGAAAGCCTTCAAACCCCTAGTGCATGATTCCCCTCACAAAGTGGCACTGGAAATCATTGAAATTTCCTCATCAACACCAGGCACAGAAACATTTCAAAGCCCATCTACATGCATAGGAGCCAAAATTATCATTAAATTGATAGTGGGCCCTTAAGATATAGAAGAAGAAAAAGATTTTAATTTAGAAAATAACAATTAGCTGTAATGTAGTATCCGAGAGGACAGCAAGAGGAAAGTGGGTTTAATATAAATAAAAAAAGCAGTAGGTCCAGACCCTTTCTTCGTTCAATTATGTATGAATAATGCGTTGCATTCGACATTATCATTTCTTTTAATGGTGAAAACAAAAACTTGGTATTGTCTCCCCTGTTCTTAGTTTGTCTGATGTACAGGACCTCGCGAATACAAGTAAACAAAAAAGATGACAAGCGTTTGAAGATCCTTGGCTGTCATCTTTTAAAGGGGCATCTTGGAGCCATAATAATTAAGTGGGTCTTTTCTTTCCTGAGTTATTAATACAAACCGTAATTTGGCTACCACTCCATCAGTTATATTTATGTCCTGAAAATGACAATACAAGCTGTTCTTTGTTAATCATAAATTATTTTTTAAACATTCGAATTATTTTCATGCTGATATCCTGAAAATTATATGCGAACTTTATGGTATGAAAATAAGCAAAGCTAATAGTAAGACAGAGGTCAATACAGCAGGCCGTACCCACCAAAAATTGATTTAGCAAGCGTGGTCAACTGCTCCGTCATAACTAGGAAGTATTTTCCCCCGAGAATGGCAAAAGAGCTACAGAGAAAGAGGCAAGAGTGCACCGGGCAAATGCAGTCAGCTACCAAATCGCTCCGCTTCTAAGACACCAGCAAGTAAACTTGGAGAACAAACCCAGGCTAATAGAGACTGTCTTTATTCCAAACTTTACTTAACATTGTCAAAACTGGGGGCAGAATAAAAGTCTCGATAGTTAAATATGCACATGCGAGATGTTTCCGGCGAGCAGCTTGTAAAACAAGAAGAACCACATGCGGAACGAGGAAAATACGATACGTGATTGATGCCGTCCCAATCAGCCAGTACATGGCCAATCAGCCAGTACATGGCCAAACAACTAATCAATTAGTCTGTCCAACTGGTTAGAAGGCCTGTCAACCAACCTGCATCGCAAGTTTACAAAACCAGACTCTCTGCTATTACAGCCAGAAGAAAACCACGCTGCCAGCGGATTGACGGTGTTACGGGCAGCCTCAAAATATACAATATTAATCTCCATTAGGCCTCTCGTTTTGCGGCAATCCCTCAGTCGGACAGAATTATTATTACATTTTTTTTTATTTTCTTGGATAGTGTGTATATTGTATGTCTTATAGGTGTCAATGTTGAACAAATGAAACATAAGTCAAGCATAAATGGTAATTATATTGCACTCAAGTGAGACAAGATTACTAGAGGAATAAGGTTGATCTGTTTAGGCGGTTTTAAGATAAACAGAAAATCAAAGGAATTGGTTTGGGTAATTTTTAATGCTTTATAGTAAGTTCGCTTTTATTTGTGGCTGGCTGGCTTATTGTTTATTTTATGAGTAGGCAAACAGGTTAACTTATTTTTGCCGTTATTTGAGCTCTCTTACTCGTTTACTCGTTTACCGTTCCCAAGTTCTCATTAATAGTACAGTACTACAGGACTGTCCCTTGGGGTACTGGTATGAAGGCAGGGCGTCATTTGAGTAGGGCAGGGTGGGGCACCACCCCCCCCCCCCTAAATTTTCAGGTTTTATAAAAATTGTATGTACTGTGGTGTCTTCAGTAATTAACAATTTAGCAATCCGACCAATTTTGTATCACCACCCATGTGGTGCTTATTTTATTGGTAGGCAATCTTATTTTATTGGTAGGAAATCTTATTTTATTGGTAGGCAATCTTATTTTATTGGTAGGCAATCTTATTTTATTGGTAGACAATCTTATTTTATTGGTAGGCAATCTTATTTTATTGGTAGGCAATCTTATTTTAATCTGTGTTCTCTTATTCGTCTTATTTTAATCTGTGTTCTGTTATTCGTCTTATACATATTAAAATACACGTGTAAACCGACGATTTAAAATAATTTCTACACCGTATTTGATAAGGAAAAAAAACAACTCAATATTTATGTATTTCCTGTTGCGGGAAAATTTAACGAGTTCTCATGCCTGTTTCCCCAACAATTGACCTCGGTTTAATTGAAATAGAGGCAAAACAGTGCAGGGTCACCTACCTGTGTATGCCAGGATCCTCAACTTGTAGTTCAAAGAGAGATCTGCTGTCATTATTGTTGAGCATCTCATCTTTGAGCATCTGTTTAGTCACCATATATTCATCATCTCTCAAGGCTATGTCACCCCAGAAAGCAACTGTGAAAACAATATGTCGGAAAAATCAGTGCAGCTAATAAATCTTGTAAGGAAATGGGTGAAGCAAAGAATGGAAAAAACTTAAAAAAGGGAAGCAAAAATATAATGAACGTATGAGGTCTTGATCAGCGAACAAACAACAGTAAAAACAACATTACATAAAAATGACACTTAGCCGTAATGTCGTATCCGAGACGCCAGCGGAGGGAAGATGACAGAACTTAAGGCTTGGAGATTAAATACTGGCAAAAATGGGACAGAAGAGAGGAAAAGTAAGTTCATTGCCATTTGTCGTAATGAGGAGGTGGCGGAGAAAAGGTTTCACAGGTGAACGAGAACATGACATTCATGCCATGTGGTGTCAAGATACTATAATTCTGGGTCAGCTTGTTTTCCCAATTCAACCCATTTGGTGTGTTTGTACAGGACACGATTGCGCTGATAGTAAAATCCTCTGAACCCTTGTGTTAGCTTCTATTGAAATGTTTAAAGACGGGTCACTGCTTATCCTGCTTAATGTTATGGAGGTGTTCAGTACATCTTTCAGAGAGGCGTCGTCCCGTCCTATACACATTGTATAAAAGGCCACGCCTCCTGCTGCTCGAAAGGCATGCTGTTAAGAGCCAGTCATTCGCAGATGACATGCATCTGCTATACAAGCATACCCATCCCTCTATGTCAATTCCGCTATCAACACCTTTCAGCAAGTAGAAGCTGAAAGATCACAAAACGGAAGCACTCCTCATTCACAAGCATAAATCATCCTCTAACTCATCTCTCCCCATCTCGTTTCATGTAGGTAGCTCCAATGTAGAGTTCATGTAGGTAGCTCCAATGTAGAGTTCACATCATCTGCTAGGAATCTTGGTCACATTCTTTCTGACAACATGTCTCTCAATGATCATATCTCTCACATCTGTCGCTCTGCGTACACTGCTATCCGTCAGATCAGCTCCATCCGCTACTACCTCACCGTCAGCGCATTAAGAACACTAGTCTGTGCTCTTGTTCTCTCTCGTCTTGACTATTGTAAATCTCTTCTGTCAGGTTCACCAGAATATTTCATAGACAAAAACTGCAGAAAGTTCAAAACTCAGCAGCTGGGCTGGTTCTAAAGGCAAAGAAACGTGATCATATCATTCCGCTACATCACTCACTTCACTGGCTCCCTATACAGGCACGCATTGATTACAAGCTGTTACAACTTTGTCTCTGTTTCCTGCCCTTCCTATCGTACTGAATTTCTTTCTCTCTATTCACCCATTCAAAAGCTTCGTTCTTCCGCAGACATGCTTACGCTTTCTGTTCCCAGAACACACACTAAAACATATGGTGAACGATATTGTTCCTTCTGTGCCCCAAAACAATGGAATTCTATCCAGTTAAACACCCGCAAGGTACCGACCGTCCCAGTCTTCAAAACTGCCATCAAGATACATCTCTTCAAACTGTACTATACCGACTCATTTTCACCACCTTTAACTGATAAACAACGGTCGATGCTGCTGGGTGCTGTCCATGGCTAGATCGGGGAAGATAGTACATGGGTGGGTGAGGAAAGGTTTTTACCCATTGTTGTTTTTAAATGTATAATTTTCTGTCATTGCAATTTTTTTTTTGAAGCGTTGTAAGCCTAACCCTAGGCTGGGGTACTGTGCTATATAAAACCACCTTAATAATAATAATATACGACATCTGACAGATGTCGTAGACAACATTGCGGCTAGTACAAAAGAAAGCGTCCCTTATCTGAAAACTGCCCTTAGGGAGTGGAATGTATGAGTTTGAATGACAAAACATGCATACAAGTAACGCACTTCTTAAGAATCCCAATTAGTGCTCCCCCCACCCAAAGGCACATCTTTTTACACCCCTGAACTGTATTAATGTTCTAATAACCCACACTCTTTTACACTGCAGATTTTACCAACTATTTCAGAAAAAAAAGAAGGTACTACGCACCAAACACACTTGCGATATTTTTTAAAATGATCTCACTCAGAGCAGTTATCGGGAATTTTATTTCATGAAATAAATTTGATCATATTATTAGTTACTTCATCTTCCCCGGAGAAACATGAAAAAATGATTTTTGGGTTTGGTGTTGGGGGTAGAGCTGTAAATTTGAAAGAATGGGTTGTCATCCTATTGCAAAATTTCATATCAATAGGTTGACGAAAAGTGGGTCAATTAGACATCCGAAGATTTTGCCCTCAAGACACAAAAGTGAAGTTTAGGTAAAGGATTTTTTTTTTAAATACCCCACGTTGTACGCATCAAAAGGAGCCTGGAAAGCTGTCGCTATGTGCAAGATTAGAAGTTAAAGAAAAGCTGAAACAATGTAGCAAAACACACATCTGCAAGTGACAAAATAGAGAGCTTAACTTAAGTTAGAAAGAACACTTCAGCACGTGTTGTTCAGCCTGAGCAAAGTGGTGATACCGATGAAGGCAAAGGGCAAAAGGAAAGTTTTTTTCTAAAAACCCAAGAAGGTAATGAAAACTATTCTGTCAAAATCTTCAGGGTAAAAAAATTCAGAAATAAAAAGAAAGAAAGAATGTATACAATTGTACATTTGGGAATATCTTTAGTTATGGATTTATGACAGCACAAACCAACAAGCAGATGCCAAAGTGACTAGTATACCTAAAGCAGTTGCATAGCTAGTTTTAGTGCCACCAGGGGCGGGCCAAGAAATGTGCAAACCCCCCCCCCCACTCCCAAACACCTCAAAGGTTAAATAACATTGAAGTCTGCGCTCTCAATGTCCAAAACTTTAAAGATTACAAAACCAAATTTAGAGAAATAAAAACTGTATGAACTTGCAGCAAGTAAAAAAAAATATAGACCTCGAAATATACAAATGTAAATACACACACACACACACGTACACACTCAAGCACGCACGCATGCACACACGCACAAACACGCGCACAAACAAGCGCACACACACACGCACACATACACACACACATACACACACACACTCGCACACATACACACAGAAGCAAAGAGTAAAATAGTGTAAGGCTCTGACATGTACAAATGAAAGATTAATCTTATCAAAACGTATCCAATGATGCCTACAAATCTGTTTCTTAATTAATTCTGTTCAAACGCCATATGTGTCGCCGTGAGCAGTGTCATAGATAAGGTTAGTGCCCCACCCTTCAGTGCACAGGTGGTCTTGAGTTAATCCAGGTTCCACGCATATATTAATGAACTAGATGAGAAAGGTGGGGTGCCAGATAATGAACTAGATGAGAAAGGTGGGGTGCCAGACAATGAACTAGATGAGAAAGATGGGGTGCCAGATAATGAACTAGATGAGAAAGGTGGGGTGCCAGATAATGAACTAGATGAGAAAGGTGGGGTGCCAGATAATGAACTAGATGAGAAAGGTGGGGTGCCAGATAATGAACTAGATGAGAAACGTGGGATACCAGATAATGAACTAGAAGTATAAGGTGGGATACCAGATAACGAAGTAGAAGAGAAAACTATAGGATATTACATAATGATCTTGAAGCATTTTGTGATCATTAGGATATGCTTCATAAATAAAGATATATCTGAGAGACAATGCATTTACTTTTGATTAATATTCCAAGATTGACTGATGAAACCATTTTCGGTTACCGAGACAGTTGAAGAGAATCAATTCAGCTTTAAAATGATATAGAGCTGAATCCAAAGTCCAGGCCCCATTACCAAGAGTGTTGGCTGCAAAAGGACATTTCCAATCGTTATCCTGCACCGTGGAAAGTGGTTAAGAAGCTTTATTGCTGCCTTCCCAATATCGCATTGGTTGGAAAGTGTTGCTGTTCAACTTCGCTACAGATTACTGAACTAAGAGTCTTTCAGCCAGGCGTTGAAAAAACTGAGATCAATTCACTAAGCCCATCCAAAGCAATGAAGAACATTTGAACAGAGAACAGAACTTAGGTACTGTAACGAAATGCCATGTATAAAGTTCTTGATTCATTATTATCTTACTTTAAAAGTTTTCGACGTGGTGTCGTGGGGTCAAGATAATCCAATTTATTTTGTAAAACTGTTCAAACATAAGTGGCGCCTTTCTATTTTATGAGTTAAGAATTTTCCTTCAAGGCCTGTGCAAAACTACTATTTTGAACATTATTTGAAATGGTTAAGGCGGTATTCGGCTCATCGCGGCTGGAGGGCCGCATGAGCATCTTTAACGACCTGAGTGCGGCCAGGCCAGTTGGCCACAAATCGGTTTTGACTCCAAAAAAAAAGATGGTTCTTGACAAGAAATTTGAATCTCAAAATTTTCTTTTATCACGCTGCTGCTGATTTTTGGCGCTTTTCACTAATACGTTTGCCAACCAATGAGTTAAGGCTAGGTGAAGGGAGGTATGTGTTAATGGCCTGAAGGGTGCAGTGGACAAAAAAGTTTGAGAACCACTGCTTTAGATAAAAGTTCTATGCGGTACGAGCTATTAAGGAAAAATTAAAGAGCCGTAGTGGCAAAGCAAAGCGTTTTTTTTTTTTTTCAAAATGATTCGGATATCACAATAAAAGCCCGATAATTACATCACACACATTTTCTTAAATGTTTTATCAGCACCTTTGAGTGCAGGTTCGGGATGATGAAAGAAAATGGAAAGATGAGTGCGTGGAAAAAGGACTGGCCGTCTGAGCATCTTGATACTGTGCGCTCTTTATTTGGATCAGAAATATAATTTAAAAAAAAACAAAAAAAAACAGTGCTCTCTACTATAGTCCTTTCTCGTACATCTGACCCGCCTAGTACCGTGTAACCCCGGAGCGTATCCGTGGGGGGCTACAATCACACGGACAGACAGAGACGATGAATGGACACCGGGGACCGTGGTGTAATAGGGTTGTTAGTTTTCCATTGCGGTGGGGCTTGATCAAATTTACTCCAGTACCAAGCCGCACACCCCTGGAGGGTAGAATGGAAGTGTTGCCTTATAATAAAATGCCGGTCCACAGAAACAGAATGAAACCGCCGGTCCATCGAAAAAGAAACAAACTGCTGGTGGGCAAGAATAGCAAAACCATAGTATTTTTATTCTGTTGAACTACTTTCTAAAGCAGTGTGGTCAAACTTTTTTGACTCCTGGGGCAAAATATTTGTTTTCTCGTGAAGCCGAGGGTCTCTCTTTTAAGAAAATTATTCAAATTATTAACACTTCTTACAATTGTGCAGCCTTTGCAAAGGCTGTGAAGTGAGTAAAATGTGATTGTTTCGGTTGAGTAATAAAGAAGTCCTGCATAGATTTGAAAACACTATTTTTTGTCCATCAACTTTGGTAAGATTTGAAAACACCCCTGCAATTTTAAAATTAATTTATTAAGGAGATAGGATATGTCCGTGAGAAATGCTAGCCTACAATAAATACATGCATTTCCATAAAGTTTAACAAATCGCCCTTTTCTTTAGTCCTTAGACATCACAAAGAGTTTATCTTCTTCTATTAGATCTCAGAATTTTGCCAGCACTTTCCCTTTGTTCAGCCAACGGACTTGAAAAACGAAATCCAAAAAATTTCTTTCGTATTCTTCTACCAAAGTCTTAAACTGCCGGTGATTTAATGGATTAGCGTGAATGAAATTTACAAATTTTCACTAGCAGTGTATCATCTTTCAGCTTTGAGCAAAGAGATCGCTGGTAAAATGGACGAATTTATACACTTGAATGTATGGAAAAAAATCGTTGTGCAGCCACCAGCAGAACCAATCAGGCCAACTCTCCTTCTCGTCTTTTGCTGGAGCACCATCTGTTGTTGTAACCAAAATAAGCTTCTTCAAATCGATACTATTCTTTAACAGAAATCCCTTCAGTGCCCTACATATCCATCCTAACTACGGGATGTATTTTTAAATGGCAGTAGTGCCAATAATTTTTTTTTTTTTTAAATGCATGCTCCATGTCAAATCAAACTCAAACAATACGTTGGACCATGTCAGTTATATCACGTGATTCATCTAATGCAAGACTGAAACCGGTTAGCATTTTTCAAATCATGAAGCAACTTATGAAATTATTCCCGCACATTTTTTTAAACACGTCTTGCTACAGTCTGGATAGAAAGCTGAAGATTGGATTTAAAAAAAAATCTCTTTTCTGTTTAAATTCAGCAAATAATAAATCTGCTCATTCTTGAAAACAAAATTTATCAGGTTCATCATGTAAATATCGTTTTAGCGTCTTAGCTAATATCCAGCTAATATAAAAGGTGTTTCAGTAAGACGGTCACTTGAACTCGAATTCCGACGAAAACATTTCACCTGCCATTCCGATTCTTTTGTAAAGAAATAACTTTGTCATCTCTTAACTTTGTTCTGAGTGGATTATTTTTCTGAAAAATCTGCGTGCACTGACTTGCGTTGTCTCTGAAGATTGTCCTTTTTCATAACAGAAAGAGTCGTCTGGCATATCAAACAAGCTGGCTTTTCAATATCAAACACGCTGGCTTTTCAATATCAAACACGCTGGCTTTTCAATATCAAACACGCTGGCTTTTCAATATCAAACACGCTGGCTTTTCAATATCAAACACGCGGGCTTTTCATTAAAAAATGAAACCTTCCAGTTCCCATGAAGAGTCGTACGGTTCTATTCTGGGAATTTCATCTTTTTTTTTTTACTTGCCATTTTGGCTTTATTATTTTTGTAAAGCATAAACATGCTTTCAAAAATCGTTTATACTGTCTCTCGGAATTTCCCAATGACTGAATCGCAATGACTACAAACTCATCTTTGATCCTACTTTCTAATCCTGGATTTGATCATACTCAATCAATACCGGGTTCTAGTATGGTTTCGTCTTGTAAATAACGGATGTACGTACGGCCACCACATTGACAGAAATCCTATTTCGTGTCAACTGGTTCACATTCCCCCTCCGGTCATTTGCGAAAACTTTTGTGCCCCCACATCTCATCTTGTTAATTCCTGTCTTATCATTAACACCCCGTAAAGCCCAGTCGTTTTAACACGTGGTGCTCACCTGTCTACTTCCTCTCAACCAGTTCGGTTGGTGCGCATGAACATTTTTAAGATAGCCACGTAGCCGCGTGTCAAGTTTCTAAATTCATCTCTCCTTTAGTCACGCCGTTAGTAGCTGTACCACGACCCCCCTGCGACCTCTTTTTAGGTCTGTGGAAGCAGCAGAAAGGAGGAGAAGTATGTATCAGATTTCATTTCAACCCCCATGTTCCCACATTCTTTATATGCTGACACTCTTAACATAAATTTGCTGCTACCTGCCAAGCATCTCTCTCCTTTGGCAATACCCTTTATTTTTTAGAATGCCACAATTTCTCATGTGCTCTCGTGCAATTTCCCAAACAATACCGAATTACTGAATATCGTTTTTCCCCCCTAAATAAATCGAACAAGTTTACCTTTTTTTTTTACACAAATGGTAAAAATGTCAGAAGGTCTGGCTGCTCATTTCAAACCAGTCGCGGGTTACATGCGAATTGAGGGCCACGGGTTGAATAGAACGTGTAAAGTATTTTTTTTTTCTAATTACACAATAAATTTGAACACAAAAGATGGATTTTAAAAGAAATTATTGAAAGTTGTACGATGAGAATTATTTTCAGTCAATACCACCAATGGATCCAAACTGATCTGAGCATCTTATTCAAAGTCAAAGCACCTATGTATCAAAATTGATCTGAACATCTTTTCAAAGCACCAATGGATCAACACTAATCTGAACATCTTATTCAAAACACCAATGGATCAACACTAACCTGAACATCTTATTCAAAGCACAAATTGATCAAAACTGATCTCAACATCTTATTTAAAGCACCAACTGATCAACACTGATCTGAACATCTTATTTAAAGCACCAATTGATCAACACTGATCTCAACATCTTATTTAAAGCACCAATTGATCAACACTGATCTCAACATCTTATTTAAAGCACCAATTGATCAACACTGATCTCAACATCTTATTTAAGCACCAATTGATCAACACTGATCTGAACATCTTATTTAAGCACCAATAGATCAACACTGATCGGAGCATCGTATTCACCCAAAGAGAAGAAGGAATGCATTTATCTATAGCCGACTCCGCGTGAACATTCACATATTTAGAGCCACAGACATCACTTGCCTTTTAACGCCCCCCTCCCCCCACCTGCCACTTTTCTGTTATGTGCCCTAAGCATTCGAAAGTGATAGTTAAAATTATTTTCACATCAGCTCTTCGGGTCCCTGAAATATCCGAGACCCCCTACAGCTGCAGAGGTTGAAGGACAAAAGCGATGGCTCTGTATAGCGCCATCTCGTTAACATAGCTTCATCTACTAGTTAGCATAGCTTCACCTCGTTTGCATAGCTTGATCTCGTGAACATAGCCTAACAGCTTTATCTCGTTGACATAGCTTTGGCTCGTTCACAAAGGGTCATAAAGTAACATATGGTCATGGCGTTGGCATTGCTTCATGTCGTTAAGATAGGTTTCATTAAATTAACGTATCGACTGACCCAATTTCCTGGAAATCACAAACTTCAAAATAAGTCCTTTATCATAGCCATATTCAAGGACTATATATTGAATATATTTTATTTATAAAAAAACAAACAAAACAAAAAGCAACTAAAAAAAACCAAAAAAAACTAACTAGCCAAGAAGACGAGCACATTTAAAAGATGGGCGTCCAAGCGAGCAGTGAAGCAGTTCCACTTGACCAGGTAAGAGATCGCGCGCGTTCCCTGTAATCACCAGGCCACACAGCCTGCGGGGAAGGTTGTGTGAAAAGGGATGATGTGAGAACCGGAGTGAAAAGTTCATTATGTTTTTGGTGTCAAAATCCAAGGTTACAATGACGTTTCAGTGAGAGAGAGAGAGAGAGAGAGAGAGAGAGAGAGAGAGAGAGAGAGAGAGAGAGAGAGAGAGAGAGAGAGAGAGAGAGAGAGAGAGAGAGAGAGAGAGAGAGAGAGAGAGAGAGAGAGAGAGAGAGAGAGGGAGAGAGAAAGAGAGAGAGAGAGAGAAAGAGAGAGAGGGAGAAAGAGAGAGAGAGAAAGAGAGAGAGAGAGAGAGAGAAAGAGAGAGAGAGAGAGAGAGAAAGAGAGAGAGAGAGAGATAGTGCATCTTTGATGGTCTACCAAGAAGGGTTACGTCAAGAGCAAGGTGGCTAATCGACGAATCATAATTGGATCAACTAGAACAGTGGTTCTCAAACTTTTAAGTTTGGCGGACCGGTGAACACGTATCGAAATTTTACCAGGGACCGGTGCATGATTTATTTGTATATTTTTATTTCTATTTGACAACAAACATTTATGTTTTGGGGACCGGCAGCGTTAAGCATGCGGACCAGTGAAGGTCCACGGACCGCCATTTTGGGACCACTGATCTAGAATTACTAGTAGAAAGTTTTTCTTAGAGCAAACTAAATAGACCTTAAGAGAAATCACCGCACCGTGTAATCAGAGTAAACCATTCATAAATTTAGATAGGAAATGAGTAAAGCAAAGTATGGGCAAACCTGAAAGAAAGGAATGCAAAACAAAACAACGAACGTGTAGGCAGGAAGCCTTCGTCAGCGAACAAACAACAGAAAAAAAACAGAATTAAATTTAAACAAAAAATAGCACTTAGCTGAGAAGTGGTATCTGAGAGGACAGCAAAAGAATTGTGACAGAAAATAAAGTTAAAAAACTAATCCAGGTAGAGTGTAGAGTTGAAATGGTCGAGCATACTCTGTCTATGTACCCTAGTGCCATTCATCATTCTGCGAGATGTCCCATGTACAGAGTTGTACTGGACGATGTAGCTCATTGGTAGAAATTGAAATCATAGCTGCCATCTGGCTCCAACGGTCAAGCTTTGCCTCTAAATCTCATTCGCTTTCAAACATTTGCCAATTGTTTTTCGACTGCGGCTTGGGTCCTGCTTGATGAAATATGGCTTTGGGTCACGCTTGATAAAATATGGCTTTGGGTCACGCTTGATGAAATATTATGGCTTTGGTCACGCTTGATGAAATATGGCTTGGGTCCTGCTTGATGAATTTTTGGCTTGGGTCCTGCTTGATAAAATATGGCTTGGGTCCTGCTTGATAAAATATGGCTTGGGCCCTGCTTGATCAAATATGGCTTGGGTCCTGCTTGATAAAATATGGCTTGGGTCCTGCTTGATCAAATATGGCTTGGGTCCTGCTTGATGAAATATGACATGGCGGTGGGCATCGTTCCACTCGCATTAGGGAAAGAGTCTTCTATTTGCGTCCGCTAGGTAAACCATGAGTCTATAGCAGCATCTTTGCGAATGCTACTGTGACACAATGCAGTGTTGTTGGACTACAAACTGAACACTTCGGATAAACCAGCCCCTTTTCACCCAAAGCAGTAGTCAAGCGACCCTTCAGTCGGACTACATATTATGCTAGCTGAACTGCCGGATGAGGTTGGGATGTGAGCAGTGGCGTAAGAAGGGGATGAACAGTGGGTAGTCTGCTCCGGGTGACACTAACTCTAGCTAAGCCACGGCGTGAGAACATCGAGGAAGTTAACCCAACATCTCTCAGCCCGGAGGAGAAACGTTCACGATTGAAGAAGGATTCAGGATTGTTAGATAAAGGTAATCTGCATTGGTACCCAGAGATTTTCTTTGAGCTCTGTAGCCGGATCATTCATTCGTACAGAATAGATGAAAATGGTCAGTAATTGGTACTCGAAGATATCATTTGAGCTCATTAGCCAGATCATTCATTCGTACAGAATAGATTAAGGTGGTCAGCAATATATCGAAGATATCCTTTGAGCTCATTAGCCCGATTATTCATCCGTACAGAATAGAGGAAGCGATAAATCTTTACCTGAAAATTAATATATAATAAAAAAAAAATGCAGGTTCGCTTGAGGCGTTGGGGGAGGTGACGCTAAAAAGTATTCCCCAACAGGTGTCTGTCCTCACCTGTGGTAATCCATCTCAGGTATCTGTTCCCTAAACGGACGTCTGCAATCAGTAATGCTGTATGTTTACCTGCCATTTTATTAGTAGCTTCTGGCAATCTAATATACAGACACAGGTCATAAACCTGGTGTACCCATCATTTATTTAACAGATGCATCCTCATGGAGATAAAACCAAAACTGTATTTGAAAAGCCTTTGAAATATACCTGGCATTTTGGTGGTACTCAACATGAACGATCAGTGCCTAGAACATCATGGGAGTTTGTAGTGCCTAGACCAGTATAGGGATTTTTAATATCTAGACTGGCATATGGGTTTGTAGTACCTAGACCAGCATAGTGGTTTGTAGTACCTAGACCAACATAGGCGTTTGTTGTACCTAGACCAGCATAGTGGTTTGTAGTACCTGGATCAGCATCGGGGTTTGTAGTACCCAGACCAGCATAGTGGTTTTTAGTACCTAGACCAGCATAGCGGTTTGTAGTACCTGGATCAGCATCGGGGTTTGTAGTCCCCAGATCAGCATAGTGGTTTGTAGTACCTAGACCAGTATAAGGGTTTGTAGTAATTAGACCAGCATAGGGGTTTGTAGTACCTAGACCAGCATCGGGGTTTGTAGTACCTAGACCAGGATAGGGGTTTGTAGTACTTTGACCAGGATAAGGGTTTGTAGTACCTAGAACAGCATAGTGGTTTGTAGTACCTGGATCAGCATCTGGGTTTGTAGTCCCCAGACCAGCATAGTGGTTTGTAGTACCTAGACCAGCATAGTGGTTTGTAGTACCTGGATCAGCATCGGGGTTTGTAGTCCCCAGATCAGCATAGTGGTTTGTAGTACCTAGACCAGTATAAGGGTTTGTAGTAATTAGACCAGCATAGGGGTTTGTAGTACCTAGACCAGCAGAGGGGTTTGTAGTACCTAGACCAGGATAGGGGTTTGTAGTACTTTGACCAGGATAAGGGTTTGTAGTACCTAGACCAGCATAGTGGTTTGTAGTACCTGGATCAGCATCGGGGTTTGTAGTCCCCAGACCAGCATAGTGGTTTGTAGTACCTAGACCAGCATAGTGGTTTGTAGTACCTGGATCAGCATCGGGGTTTGTAGTCCCTAGACCAGCATAGTGGTTTGTAGTACCTAGACCAGTATAGGGGTTTTTAGTACTTAGAACAGCATAGCGGTTTGTAGTGCCTAGACCAGCATAGGGGTTTGTAGTACCTAGACCAGCATAGTGGTTTGTAGTACCTAGACCAGCATAGTGGTTTGTAGTGCCTAGACCAGCATAGTGGTTTGTAGTACCTAGACCAGCATAGTGGTTTGTAGTGCCTAGACCAGCATAGTGGTTTGTAGTGCCTAGACCAGCATAGGGGTTTGTAGTACCTAGACCAGCATAGTGGTTTGTAGTACCTAGACCAGCATAGTGGTTTGTAGTGCCTAGACCAGCATAGTGGTTTGTAGTACCTAGACCAGCATAGTGGTTTGTAGTCAGCATAGGGGTTTGTAGTACCTAGACCAGCATAGTGGTTTGTAGTACCTAGACCAGCATAGTGGTTTGTAGTGCCTAGACCAGCATAGTGGTTTGTAGTACCTAGACCAGCATAGTGGTTTGTAGTGCCTAGACCAGCATAGTGGTTTGTAGTACCTAGACCAGCATAGTGATTTTTAGTACCTAGACCAGCATAGTGGTTTGTAGTACCTGGATCAGCATAGGGGTTTGTAGTAACCAGACCAGCATAGTGGTTTTTAGTACCTAGACCAGCATAGTGGTTTGTAGTACCTGGATCAGCATAGGGGTTTGTAGTAACCCGACCAGCATAGTGATTTTTAGTACCTAGACCAGCATAGTGATTTTTAGTACCTAGACCAGCATAGTGGTTTGTAGTACCTGGATCAGCATAGGGGTTTGTAGTAACCAGACCAGCATAGTGGTTTTTAGTACCTAGGGGTTTTTAGTACTTAGAACAGCATATGGGTTTGTAGTGCCTAGACCAGCATAGTGGTTTGTAGTACCTAGACCAGCATAGGGGTTTTTAGAGCTTAGACCAGCATAGAGGTTTGTAGTGCTTAGACCAGTGCCAGGTTAAGACCTGTTGGTTCCCTCAGTAGTCGTAATTTTTACTCTCTAAGTGACGTAACTCTGATGGCCTTTTGGATTTATTTATGAGGCTAACATTATATAAATCGACACATGGGTTATTTTCATTTTACTTTACTGACTGTATTTTTTTTAAAGGGGGGCGGGGGTGGTGGGGGCTGGCTGGGCACAGTTTAAGGATTTTACCATGGGAAAAATTTAGTCAAGGTTCCACGCGTCTGAACAATACGTAAGTTCAATATAGGTAAATCAAGTTCGCACAACACCCACAAAATTAGATACCTCGTCACAAGGCTTAAAGGGGGTTCCCCTTACAGACCAGGCACTCGTGCTGAATGTGCGATTTGTTTAGAGGGGTGGCTAGTGGTGTATTCAGGATAGTAAGAATGGATGGCCATTGGTGTATTGAGGATAATAAGAATGGATGGCCATTGGTGTATTGAGGATAGTAATAAATGGATGTTATTGGTGTATTGAGGATAGTAATAAATGGATGTTATTGGTGTATTGAGGATAGTAATAAATGGATGTTATTGGTGTATAGAGGATAGTAATAAATGGATGTTATTGGTGTATTCAGCATAGTAATGAATGGTTGTTATTGGTGTATTGAGCATAGTAAGAATGGTTGTTATTGGTGTATTGAGCAAAGTAAAAATGGTTGTTATTGGTGTGTTGAGCATAGTAAGAATGGTTGTTATTGGTGTATTGAGCATAGTAAGAATGGTTGTAAATGGTGTATTCAGGATAGTAAGAATGGATGTTATGGGTGTATTCAGGATATTAAGAATGGATGTTATGGGTGTATTCAGGATATTAAGAATGGAATTTATGGGTGTATTAAGGATTGTAAGAATTGTTGTGAATTTAGGCTTTAGGTATATTTTAATATATATTGTTCCCTACAATAATACAGTTTTTACCACACACATCATTCAACAGCAACTGGTCCATATTTACCTACTGATTATAGAGACTTACAATATCATTAGACATTTGAACCACCACACATGAAGACCTACCTGCCTTACATGGGTCCATGTAGATATCATTGCTCACTCTTGGGTGCACCGTATCCTCAAGGGCTTCTACCGTCAACAGAACCAACACCAACAAGTATGTCATGATTTTTAACGCACTGGCCTTACGGCTATCAGAAAAAGTCACAGCAGTGATGGGTCATTGAATTCTAACAGGACTTTGCGATGGCTATTTTCACCACATCAGCCATTTCATAGGAGCTGTAGGTAATTACTTTTTTGGTCAAACTAATTAAAAGTATTATTTTATTTTTAAAAAAAAATAATAAATTGTAAAATCGTGTCTTTAAATTCGATTTTTTTTTTAAAAGCAGTATACAATAAATATAAAACAACAACACCAACACAACACAGTTGTTTATCATTTATCAGCCACGCAACACACTGTTTACTGAGTTGACCAAGTCAGCATAACCTTTCACTCTAAGTTGGTGCCCTGCTTTAAGCTCAACTCTATTGGTCAATACCGTTCAATGTAGGGCAAATCAACGTTAATATTTTAGCCCAGGTCGTCAACAAGGGTTCAGGTGTTAAGTTGATATTTCGTGTTGGAATGTATTACAAATCGCTACAAATCCCAAAGAAATCTAGTTATCAAAAACAAAGTTAATCAGTAAGAACGACACTGCAACAGTACTGCTATACGACAAATGATGACCAAATATTGTTGGATTAAAAAAAAAAAAGTTAGTTCTTCTCGATTCGATTTGCTAGTAAAACCAATCAAATCACTCTGAATAAGTGGATACTAACGCCAGGGCTCAATGATCTGATTTAAAGCGACTTCACCTCAAGATAATAATTATTTCCCAGCAATAAGAATAAGAACAACTCTCTAAGCACACCCTAATCATAAAAAAAAAACAAAAAAAAACAATAAAACAATAACACAATGTTATCTAACACTGAAGTTCCTGGAGCAAATGAAGAGCATCGCCCGAAAAACACCAGAATCCATTTGATGATAAACACACACGGGTTATCTCGTATTTGAATCCATTTCCTTTAACACGTAAGACAGCGCTCCAGCTATCCTGTGTGATAATTTTCACCAAGCCATTCTATCGTCGCTCCCCCCTCCACCTTCGAGCATTTCACTCCTCACTCTCTGAGCAGAGCTTTCCCTACAGCAAGCATGTTCGGTTGCTCCTCTTCTTCTCCAGCCCCTCTCCGCGTTCGCTTGCCGCATGCTCTCTGTGTGTATGTTTCGTCTCGGTGAGTCCGACGGTTCCAAACCGCCAGACATAAAAGAAGGAACGAGAGAAAGAAAAAAAAAACGTACTGCAGGAGTTGTGGTTAGTGACCGAAGCGAATCTAGAGAGACGAGTAGTTCACGCTATCCCAATGGTTCTCAAATTTTTTCCGCGCACCTTCACGCGCTTCCCCTTGAGGGCATTGATTCATCATAAACGCAACCCCACCTCCCTAAATCGTCTTATCAAATTTAAAGCATTCTCGTGAGAATAACTTCCACAATCCTCTACTGAAAATGTTAACGCTATGAATATAAAAGTGTAGTGTAACATACATCATTGTATTTGTTCATATTACTAATGTTAGTTTTTAATTACATTCTACTAATGACTGTATTATTTGATCAAGTGATATCTCCACTTTTTTGTGTGTTCTATTACAAATATATATATATTTTTTTAAAATTAGCGTAAGTGCTAGGCCTAGTATACGCAGTTTGTTGGCGACGGGTTTTAATTCTCAATGAATAAACCTAATTCACTTTGTCAATATTTCGAATGGACAACCCCTTCGCATCACTTTCTATCCGTCTTGCAACTGGCAACTCTTGATCCAAACTTCCAGGGAAAAGAGATTTATAATCTGGTAAGTCAGCTCATCCACTTGTATTAAGTTAACTCATCCAGTAGTGGTAAGTCAGCTCATCCACTAAGTGGTAAGTCAGCTCATCCACTTGCAATAAGTTAACTCATCCAGCAGGGGTAAGTCTGCTCATCCACTTGTAATAAGTTAACTCATCCAGTAGTGGTAAGTCAGCTCATCCACTAAGTGGTAAGTCAGCTCATCCACTTGCAATAAGTTAACTCATCCAGTAGTGGTAAGTCAGCTCATCCACTAAGTGGTAAGTCAGCTCATCCACTAAGTGGTAAGTCAGCTCATCCACTTGTAAAAAGTTAACTCATCCAGTAGTGGTAAGTCTGCTCATCCAGTTGTAATAAGTTAACTCATCCAGTAGTGGTAAGTCTGCTCATCCAGTTGTAATAAGTCAACTCATTCATTTGTTGTAAGTCAGCTCATCCACTTTTAATAAGTTAACTCATCCAGTAGTGGTAAGTCAGCTCATCCACTAAGTGCTAAGTCTGCTCATCCACTTGCAATAAGTTAACTCATCCAGTAGTGGTAAGTCAGCTCATCCACTTGTAATAAGTTAACTCATCAAGTAGTGGTAAGTCTGCTCATCCACTTGTAATAAGTTAACTCATCCAGTAGTGGTAAGTCTGCTCATCCACTTGTAATAAGTTAACTCATCTAGTAGTGGTAAGTCTGCTCATCCAGTTGTAATAAGTTAACTCATCCAGTAGTGGTAAGTCTGCTCATCCACTTGTAATAAGTTAACTCATCAAGTAGTGGTAAGTCTGCTCATCCACTTGTAATAAGTTAACTCATCCAGTAGTGGTAAGTCAGCTCATCCACTTGTAATAAGTTAACTCATCAAGTAGTGGTAAGTCTGCTCATCCACTTGTAATAAGTTAACTCATCCAGTAGTGGTAAGTCTGCTCATCCACTTGTAATAAGTTAACTCATCTAGTAGTGGTAAGTCTGCTCATCCAGTTGTAATAAGTTAACTCATCCAGTAGTGGTAAGTCTGCTCATCCAGTTGTAATAAGTTAACTCATCAAGTAGTGGTAAGTCTGCTCATCCACTTGTAATAAGTTAACTCATCCAGTAGTGGTAAGTCTGCTCATCCACTTGTAATAAGTTAACTCATCCAGTAGTGGTAAGTCTGCTCATCCACTTGTAATAAGTTAACTCATCCAGTAGTGGTAAGTCTGCTCATCCAGTTGTAATAAGTTAACTCATCAAGTAGTGGTAAGTCTGCTCATCCACTTGTAATAAGTTAACTCATCCAGTAGTGGTAAGTCTGCTCATCCAGTTGTAATAAGTTAACTCATCCAGTAGTGGTAAGTCTGCTCATCCACTTGTAATAAGTTAACTCATCCAGTAGTGGTAAGTCTGCTCATCCACTTGTAATAAGTTAACTCATCCAGTAGTGGTAAGTCTGCTCCTCAACTTGCAATAAGTTAACTCATACAGTAGTGGTAAGTCTGCTCATCCACTTGCAATAAGTTAACTCATCCAGTAGTGGTAAGTCTGCTCATCCACTTGTAATAAGTTAACTCATCCAGTATTGGTAAGTCAATTCATTCATTTAGGTAAGTCAGCTCATTCATTTGTGTTAAGTCAGCTCATCCACTTGCAATAAGTTAACTCATCCAGTAGTGGTAAGTCTGCTCATCCACTTGTAATAAGTTAACTCATCCAGTATTGGTAAGTCAATTCATTCATTTAGGTAAGTCAGCTCATTCATTTGTAATAAGTTAACTCATCCAGCACTGGTCAGTCAGCTCATCCAGTGGTGGTAAGTCAACTCATTCATTTGTTGTAAGTCAGCTCATCCACTTTTAATAAGTTTACTCATCCAGTAGTGGTAAGTCAGCTCATCCACTAAGTGGTAAGTCAGCTCATTCAATTGTGGTAATTCAACTCATCCACTTTTAATAAGTTAACTCATCCAGTAAGTGGTAAGTCAACTCATTCATTTGTGGTAAGTCAGCTCATTCAATTGTGGTAAGTCAACTCATTCGTTTGTGGTAGCTCAGCTCATTCATTTGTGGTAAGTCAGCTCATTCATTTATGGTAAGTCAGCTCATTCATTTGTGGTAAGTCAACGCATTCATTTGTGGTAAGTCAGCTCATTCATTTGTGGTAAGTCAACTCATTCATTTGTGGTAGGTCAGCTCATTCATTTGTGGTAAGTCAGTTCATCCACTAAGTGGTAAGTCAGCTCATTTAATTGTGGTAAGTCAACTCATCCACTAAGTTGTAAGTCAACTCATTTAATTGTGGTAAGTCAACTCATCCACTAAGTGGTAAGTCAGCTCATTCAATTGTGGTAAGTCAGCTAATCCACTAAGTGGTAAGTCAGCTCATTCATTTGTGGTAAGTCAGCTAATCCACTAAGTTGTAAGTCAACTCATTCATAATTTGTGGTAAGTCAACTCATTCATTTGTGGTAGGACAGCTCATTCATTAGTGGTAAGTCAGCCCATTCAGTTGTGATCTCAACTCTGATGCCTAAGGTCATTCTACACATGTATTGCGTCCATCAACCCAGAACCTCACTGTGTGTTGGTAAGATGGGTTCTTACCCGATTGGTTATTACTGTCACGATTCAGAATTCGGGCACTCGAGGTTCTGACAAGCAAAACAACAAAAAAAGCTTAATAGTAAAGAGAAAATTATTTGCAAACAAGGCTTTGTTGTTAGCCGTCTATAAATGTTAATTTTTTTTAATGGCCATGGTACTTCTGTTTGAAAGTTTAATCAAAGAAACTTCACTTAAAAATCAAAAGAGTGTATCATTTTTTTTCTAAATATTGAATTTCAATTAAAATTCGTATTGCTGATGAAATTCCCAAACGTTATCTTGGGGGTCCAAGCGCCCCCACAGACCACCCTCCCTTTAAATCTTCAAAATCTTTCAGCGCTCCCTGGGTCATTCCACTGCTACTGAGAAGTGGGTTAGTACCGCCAGTTTTGAGAACTACTGGCCTATCCCAACCCGCCCCCCCCCTCCAACACGGCTAGTTCAGCGGCCATGCTTCATCCCCTGCCACATAATAAATGTTTTCGTTTCCCTTCGCTGGCTAATTAGGAAATTACACCACCCATCCATCCAGCCATCCATGCATCCATGTATAAATTAATGCATCCATCCATCCATCAAGCTTTTCGCTAATCAATACATATGTCCATTATTTCATCAATCTCTACACCAAACCACCCATCCATTTGTCACATAGTGACCCATGTATCAACGTATCAGTGTATCATCCATCCATACACCGATTCATCCACCCTACCACCCGTCATCGGTCTGTCAGTCAGTTTGTCCATTCGTCCCTCCGTCTTTCCCTGAGTCTGCGTCCTCCTATTAAGAAATCTAGAGCGATAAAGACCACGCAGGTGTACAATTAAATTAATTTAACAAATCTCCCTGTAGACGATGTTATCAAAGATTGCACACACATACGACATTCAACTTACAAGCCTAATTTGGTTAACAGTGTTTTCATTTGCCATAATCTTTATAATGTTTACATCACATATGCTGGTTTTTCTGAACCTGTTACTTTTCCAAATTTTTCAAGATAGTAATTTCGTTTGTTTTCCTCCAAATTAAACATCCAACATTATATTCACTAGCTCCTACATTTTCCTAAATGGTTCACATGTTTGTTAGATATTTGAACATACTTGTGTTGATGACTTATCTCAGAGCAATATTTTGTAGTTTGTATGAAAATTAAGTGACTTTCAATTTCACTTACAAAAAAATGTCTTTTTAAAAGCTTTTACTGGCCAAGCAGATGAACAGCCCTGACAGTTAAACAGATGTGACAGATTTACTGCTTTGACAGTTTAACAGCTGTGACAATTGAACAGCCCAGAAAGTTGAACATCAATGGTAGAAGAAAATCTCTGGCAATTGAACATAGCTGACAGTTGAACATCTCTGACAGTATTATTATTATGAAGGTGCTACACTGTTTGACATTATCCCGGTCATTGAACTCGCCAAATATTCATCTGACAATCACACGTTCCTGGGAGTTGAGAAAGATATTCTTTGAACGATTGGTGTCCTATTACCACTTTCTCTGCTACCGTCTGTCAATTCCCATCAGTTTTCGTAACGTGCTGTGAAATTTTAAAACAGGAAAACGCAAAGAGACTTCGCAGGGAGACTTTGCAGGGAGACCACCCGTCTCCCTTAACGTAGAGGCGTATCAAGAATAATGCTCTAAGGTCGAATCGATGCCAGACATAGCTGGGCTTAAACCGTAACTAATAACGCCCGTAAGGCAATCAATCGTTTGAACTCCCTTTAAACTCACTGGGTCCAAATGATGGAGAGACAGGAGACGCGTGTGAAGGGTGGTATCGACTCAAGTATCGATCGGTTGAAGGGGCAGGCCTTCTTGGTAGAAGTGTTGATGAAATAAAAGATTAATACAGTGGAACGGGCCAATTTTTATTACTTTCCTGTATTTGATTGTCCAAAACGATCATTAAAGAATAATTTTCTTTTTACTTCATTTAAAACCACCTCATTCTGTTCTATAAATTTAAATTTAAAAAAAAAAAAATTAGGTTATATAAGAAAAAAAAGAAATATTTTGAATAAAACACACCTCTTTTTCAGAACTAGTTTAAATTTTTTTTTTATCGCGCTCTCCAAATGTGTCTTTAAAAAAAAACAAAAACAAATAAAAACAAAAAAAACAAAAACAAAACAAAAAAAAGCAACGGGTCTGTAGAAAGCTCCACAATTTACAAAGAAAGAAGAATCTAAATTTACCTGCAAATATTTGCTGCTCGGTTAAAAAATAAAAATAATTAAAAAATCGCTTTATTGAGTTTAGCCGTCTAGACAATTATCGATTACAGTAGTACGGAACAAACCTTGGAGTTGGCTCAGTCATTCTTGGGGTGCCGGGAGCCAATGCCAGTTTTTCTTCTGTTTGTTACGTTGATGTAGAACCAATAACCATAGACTGCCGTAGAGTGCACCGATGCTTGCACCGGAAAGTGATTGGTATTGATTGGTATTGATTGGGAACAACACTGGAGGAATAACATTAAAATCAATTTCTATAAATATATCATTAAAAAAAAAAGTGTTACCAAATTATTCAGGCAGCGGTTTCAAGATATTTTTTTGTTTCTGCAAAAAATATTGATAAATGATTAAATCGCCACGGCCTATTTACGTTATAGTCGAAATAAAAATATAAAGCAATCATTCGTGTAAAGACGCAAACAAGTACTCATTTGTTTCAAAGTTTTAATTTGATGACTTATTTAGTGAGATTCCTCAGCGAGTCACGTTATAGTCACGTGAGGCTATGAAGCTATTAAGGCACTGCGTTTTTATATGAACCACATTATTTTTATTGATCCCGTGATAAGGACGATCACGAAAATAAAAGTCGGTATCGGGGGCGTAGGAAAAGGAGGGGTCCGCACCAAATGGGAGTTTTGATCCCCTTATTGTGAGTGGAACACATTTCGGCCAACCGAACTGTTTTGTTTTATTGAAAGTGTGTGTGTGTGTGTGTTTGTGGGGGGGGGGAGGGGGGGCTAAAAGCTTGGTTCACCACGGTTGACACCTACCCCGTGCGACGCCCACTGTTTTGGTATCAAGATCTAATTCAGACAAGCAATTTCAGCAAGTGTATACGGAAATGGTAGGAGATAAATGGTTTGTGATCGATCTACGGAAATAAAAGGAGAGCAATTGAGTTTCTTGATGCTTCACTTCCTCTCAGATCTTGTCTCGACTGCTTATTTCAATGTTCCCTTCGCTAAAGCAAGAGGTTTTCAACAGCTTCATTCTTACGACACACAAATCGGATTGCCTAAAATTCAGCGGCATCATTTAAATGTAAAAAAAAGAAGCAAAAAAAAAACTTGAATGAATAGAAGTGTCAAAGTGAATTATTGTTAATTCAGATTAGACATGATAGATTTATAACTGGGGCCGTTTAGATTTTGAATGAACAATGCTAAGTAGCTAAGTAACTCTTTCCTTCCTTGTTTGTCCTTACTAAGATCTTTTCTGTCTGTCTGTCTCTCTCCCTTTCTCGCTCCCTCTTTCTGTTTCTCTCTCCCTCTCTCTCTCTTTCTCACTCCCTCTTTCTGTCTCTCTCTCTCTTTCTCACTCCCTCTTTCTGTTTCTCTCTCTCTTTCTCTCTCCCTCTTTCTGTCTGTCTCTCTCTCTCTCTCTCTTTCTCACTCCCTCTTTCTGTTTCTCTCTCCCTCTCTCTCTCTCTCTTTCTCACTCCCTCTTTCTGTCTCTCTCTCTCTTTCTCACTCCCTCTTTCTGTTTCTCTCTCTCTTTCTCACTCCCTCTTTCTGTCTGTCTCTGTCTCTCTCTCTGTCTTTCTCACTCCCTCTTTCTGTTTCTCTCTCTCTCTTTCTCACTCACTCTTTCTGTCTGTCTCTCTCTCTCTCTCTCTTTCTCTCTCTCTCTCTCTTTCTCACTCTTTCTCTTTCCCTTCTCTCTCTCTCCCTATCACACTTCCCTTAATTACAATTATCTGACAGCGCACTCCTGGTAACTGACCCATTTAAAGATCTCACCCTCCTGCCCGCCCCAAACATCTCTCCCAGTCAATCCCACATCGCCATAGACTTGCTACTGCCACTTTCTTGAGTTCAATGTCTTCTAAGTCCTCACTCGTCTTCCTGGCCTTGTCGGTTTCACTTTATTGACGGCCGGGAAACGAATGGGTATTTCTCCCCACTTCGACTGTGTCCAAAACCAATTCCATTTCAGGAGGTCACACTCCGTAGGCAAAGTGCTTGGTAGGTCCCAAAACAGTTTGAAAATTGTTTGAAGTCATTCGAGTCCATGTTTTATACACTGCTTCGTCGTTTGACCGCATTTTTTGTTAACCTCAAATAAAACTTCTTCCAGGCTGAAGACGCCCACCCGCGCCCCGCAAACAAAAATAATAAATAGAGGTCTAATAATAATAATAATAATAATAATAATAATAATAATGATGATTTAATAAATAAAACAATCATGATTTAAAACAAATCTTTATATATCTTATGTTTGTGTGAGTGTTAATGATAAATATGTTAATTCGATTAAGTATAATGATTAAAAGAAACGAGTCATAAAATATATCTTTCTTTCTCACTCACTCTCTCCCTCTCTATGGAAATATATATATTTATTTATATATATATATATATATATATATATATATATATTTATTTATACATATATAACGATTTAAGGTCCAATTTACATTCTTTTATCCTACAAATACAGCTACAGCTACAAATACTATGAGCATATACAACACATAAAAAAAACGAGACATAAAATATATCTCTCTTTCTCACTCACTCTCTCTCTCTCTATAGATATATATATATATATATATATATATATATATATATATATATATATATATATTTATTTATACATACATAACGATTTAAGGTCCAATTTACATTCTTTTATCCTACAACTACAGCTACAGCTACAACTACTAGGAGCATATTCAACACAGACTGAGCCCGACAAACTGACTCTGCCAAAGGACCCATCTGGTTGAGATATGTCCAAAACATAACTACTTGATAACAACTATGAATAAAAACTCTATGAAAAGAAAACACCAAACTGTCAATGAAATATTGTGAAAAAAAACTTCTTTTAAGGCAGCTTTCATACGTACTGCCATACTGGGATAATCACTTTATAGTCCTGCCTTGCGGCTCTCGTTATTTCCGACAGCTCTTCCAATGTGCAGACACAAAGCCAACATATCACAAGGCACCCGAACGTTCGATAAAATGACGGCAAGAGATACTCCGCTCTGATCGTCATCAAAAGGATGAGAAAACTATACGCTATTTAAAACGAACTATTAAGACAAAAGCAAAACTAATCTGACTATATCTGACAGCTTTTTTTATATTACATATAAATCTCAGTAGATATGAAGCATGGACAATACATATATAATGAGAAAAAAATTGTGATAAATGAACACATTTTAAAGTTACAAGCATCAATTAAGTGTCCTGGGTGCATCCTTCGATTAATTTCTTAAAGTTTTGGAAACCATGTAAACATTGTGGGAAAAAAATGGGGGGGGGGGGAGAGGACAAAACTTGAGGCATTGAACTTGTTGCAACATGCAAACGTTTCTTATACAAAAATGGTTTTTAGTTTAATATCATTACATGTGAGAAATCCATTTGTTGTTCATTTATATTTTTTTCTTTATGCATGTGTCTGTAAAGTTTGTATATGTGCTTCTCTCTCTATATATGTATATATATATATATATAAAAGTCTGTGTGTATATGTATGCTTCTGTATATGTCTTAATATGTCTGGATATATCTGTATATGTATGTATGTGTCTAGATATGTCTGTACGTGTCTGAATATGTCTGTGTATGTATGTATATTTCTTTTTATATCTGTTTATGTTTTGTGTCTGTATATGTCTAAATATGTATAAGTCTGTATATTAATATATATGTATATATTTTGTAAAATGTTTATATATATATATATATATATATATACATATATATATGTCTGAATATCTTGTATATGTCTTTATATTTATATGTTAGTATATTCTGAAAGATTAAAACAATATGTTTTATAACAAAAAAAGTCATTAGTTTACCCCCCCCCCCAAACCACACCTAATATCTTTCTTTTAACAGAAATTGAATAACAAAAATAATATTTTACATAAGAATAAAATATGCATGACCAAAAATTTAAGGGGAAATATTATATTACGATACACACACACATATTAGGGTAAACAAATAATACAATTAAAAAAAACAATTAAACGTCCATAGTGATATTTCTTGTATAGACATCCAAGTCTAAGTGTATTAGCTAATGTCCGGTGCATAGATAGTGGTAGTGTATGAAGTTGACCAAATGCTCAGAATAGTCCTGTCCTCTTTTTCAACTCAACTTGTTGCCAAGACTTTAATGTAATGAATTGGTTATAAGGCATCCCGAACACCTCCAGAAAATCAGCATCAGTAAGGTAGACCTGGAATTAAATAATAGCGGTAGTTGTTTGTTTGTTGTTTTTTTCATTTTATTTCGCAAAATATATTATATGTATTTTTATATAAATAATTAACCTAACAATTTGTTTTGTTTAATTCAATGCTGTCCAACCTTTCCCTTCGTGTGCCATGCCGAGGGTCGCACATGGCAATTCAAAACATAGATTTTTTAACCTTAACAAAAAATCAAAAACAAAAACAAAAACAACAAAAAAACAACAACAACAACTATGCTCTTCATTAATAAGTCTATCCGTATGCATAATGAATCACATATGCAATAGCATTATCCATTAAACAATGATACAATAAAAACTGTAGCACATTTTTAATGAGATATTTTTGCTTTGAATCGTACTTGTAACTTTCTTTTAAGTTACACGTTACAAGGAAAGTTGCTTAACTAAAAAAAAAATACCTTTAGCTGGAATGTGACAACATATGTATTACCCACCACATAGTCTGCCCTTATAAATGTTTTTTTTTGGGGTTTTTTCAAATACAAAATTTAAATGTAAATTGTCTATTTTTGCTAAGTATTAAACTATAAAAAAAAATCTACCTAAATTTTATGAGGTGGCCACTCGTGTAATTATGTTACATTGATTACCTCCTTCGTTTGTACATGTTACATTGATTACCTCCTTCGTGTGTACATGTTACATTGATTACCTCCTGCGTGTGTACATGCTACATTGATTACCTCCTTCGTATGTAAATGTTACATTGATTACCTCCTTCGTGTGTACATGTTACATTGATTACTTCCTGCGTGAGTACATGTTACATTGATTACCTCCTGCGTGTGTACATGTTACATTGATTACCTCCTTCGTCTGTACATGTTTCATTGATTACCCCCTGCGTGTGTACATGTTACATTGATTACCTCCTTCGTGTGTACATGTTACATTGATTACCTCCTTCGTGTGTACATGTTACATTGATTAACTCATGTGTGTACATGTTACATTGATTACCTCCTTCGTGAGTACATGCTAAATTGATTACCTCCTTCGTGTGCACATGTTGCATTGATTACCTTCTTTGTGTGTACATGCTACATTTATTACCTCCTTCATGTGTACATGTTACATTGTTTACCTCCTTCGTGTGTACATGAAACATTGATTATCTCCTTCGTGTGTACATGTTTCATTGTTTACCTCCTTCGTGTGTACATGTTACATTGATTATCTCCTTCATGCGTACATGCTACATTGATTACCTCCTTCATGTGTACATGTTACATTGATTACCTCCTTGTATGCGGGGTCAACTCCCCGAGGCGGAAGCTTCTTTGTCAACTCAGAGTAAGGGTAATTTTTGTTTACTTGGACAGGACTCTGAAAACGGTAAAGTTCACATTGGTAACATGAAGACAAGACTTTGTAACATGAAGAAACGACTTTGTAACATGAACATATGACTTTGTAACATGAACGCATGACTTTGTTACATCAACACATGACTTTGTAATATGAACACAGGACTTTGTAACATGAACACATGACTTTGTAACGTCAGCACATGACTTTGTAACATCAACACATGACTTTGTAATATGAACACATGACTTTGTAACATCAACACATGACTTTGTAACATCAACACATGACTTTGTAACATGAACACATGACTTTGTCAGTGGTGTCTTCACGGCTAGGGTGTGGGACTTTCTGGGGCGGGGCTGGGGTCGGAACTTAAAACATGATTTTTTAGAATAATTTTGTTAAAATTTCAAAATTGATAACTCGGTCAACATATGTTCTTAATATCGTAACCAGATACTGGCTTTAAGTTTAGAAAAATATTTGAGAAAAAAAGGTTTTTTTTTAGAAGAGATTAAATTAAAAATATTAAATTTGATTTTTTTTTCGCTGTTTATTGAGCAAAATATTATTTTATAAAATGTTTTCAAAAATAAGTTTTATAAATTTAAGACGTGTTTTACGATTAAAGATAACGAATGATTTAAAAAAAAAAAAATTAACCAAAAACCGTTTAGTATTCTTTCTTTGTTAAAACCCGTACATCAGCTCACTTATTTCCAAGCAATTTCTTCAATGAACCTCAAAAGTTTCAAAGTAAATCATTCAATAAGATTGTCAACAAACATCTTCATCTAAACAAAATGCATGTTAACCCCCCACCCAAAAAAAAAATTAAAAAAAATAATAATAAATAAAATAAAATAAAAAATAAATAAATACCACTGAACAAGCCAAAGTATGAACATATATTTGTTTCAGGAAAGCATGGCACGGGTGTTGGCAAGGTAAATAACAAGACCGCGAACAGATGGCCGTGACAGGAGTCTCTACGTTTATCAACACATCCTTGTGCAGGAGACAATTCATCATTTGCTTCACAGCTTGAATCGTTTCACTCCCAACTGGAGTAGAAGTAACAACAAAAACCCAAGCATTGCACGGATCGACAGTTGGAATAGACACTTTGGAGAATATAGATTTTTAAAATAAACTGCGAGGCACATCATTATTTCAAATTTGAGCTCAGAGAATTATATTTTTTTAAAAATATTTTATAACTTTTGATTAGTTTCTGAATTAAAAAGAAGGTAGAACAGCTTACAAGAGACCACCATGATGTCATGAATACCATTGCTAGGCTGTACTCGATACTCCTCTAGCCTGAATCATAGTTTAAGAGAACAAAGAAATTTAATTGAAAGAATGATTCATTGCAACCCCCACCGCCAATGCCTTTTTTCTCCCCAGTAACTCACCATTTACCAAGACGGTAAAACCCATGGCTTCAAGGCCGCAATGCACAAGAATACCCCCCCCCCGTTTCATACATAACTTTAGTGTCTTTTGCTGCAACCCCGATCTAATATATCATTTTATCATAATTTAAGAGAACAAAGAAATTCAATTGAAAGAATGATTCATTGCAACCCCCACCGCCAATGCCTTTTTTCCCCCCAGTAACTCACCATTTACCAAGACGGTAAAACCCATGGCTTCAAGGCCGCAATGCACAAGAATACCCCCCCCCCCCGTTTCATACATAAATTTAGTGTCTTTTGCTGCAACCCCGATCTAATATATCATTTGACACCTCTATTCACCCACGAAAACTAACAAAAGAGCAAAACCACGAAGATGCACTCACTCTGACCAATGTCCGATATTTTGATGCTTGATCCATTTAGTGGGAATAAACAACGTTTAGAATATCCAAAAGACATTTTTTATCTAGTTTGTTACATCTACCTGCACGATATATCCAGAATGTTACATCTACCTGTACGGTCTATCTAGAATATTACATCAACCTGTGCGGTATATCTAGAATGTTCCATCTACCTGTACGGTATATCCAGAATGTTACATCTACCTGTACGGTATATCTAGAATGTTACATCTACCTGTACGGTATATCTAGAATGTTATATCTATCTGTGCGGTATATCTAGAATGTTACATCTACCTGTATGGTATAACTAGAATGTTACATCTATCTGTAAGTTATATCTAGAATGTTACATCTATCTGTACGGCATATCTAGAATGTTACATCTATCTGTACGGTACATCTAGAATATTAATCTATCTGTACGGTACATCTAGAATGTTAATCTATCTGTACGTTATATCTAGAATGTTACATCTACCTCTACGGTATATCTATAATTTTACATCTATCTGTACGGTATATATAAAATTTACATCTACCTTTACGGTATATCTAGAATGTTACATCTATCTGTACGGTATATCTAAAATGCTATATCTATCTGTGCGGTATATCTAGAATGTTACATCTATCTGTACGGCATATCTAGAATGTTACATCTATCTGTACGGTATATCTAGATTGTTAATCTATATGTACGGTATATCTAGAATGTTACATCTACCTGCACGGTTTATCTAGAATGTTACATCAACATGTACGGTATATCTAGAATGTTACATCTATCTGTACGGTATATATAGAATTTACATCTACATGTACGGTATATCTAGAATGTTACATCTATCTGTACGGTATATCTAGAATGTTATATCTATCTGTGCGGTATGTCTAGAATGTTATATCTATCTGTACGGTATATCTAGAATGTTACATCTACCTGCACGGTAGATCCAGAATGTTACATCTACCTGTACGATATATCTAGAATGTTACATCTACCTGTATGGTATATCTAGAATGTTACATCTATCTGTAAGTTATATCTAGAATGTTACATCTACATGTACGGTATATATAGAATGTATGTTACATCTACCTGTACATTATATCTTGCACCTTATATCTACCTGTACAGTAAATATAGTATGTTAAATCTACCTGTACAGTAAATATAGTATGTAACATCTACCTGCACAGTAAATCTAGTAAATTATATCTACCTGTAGAGTAAATATAATATGCTACATCTACCTGTACAGTAAATATAGCATGCTACATCTACCTGTACAGTAAATATAGTAAGCTACATCTACCTGTATAGTAAATATAGTATGCTACATCTACCTGTACAGTAAATATAGTATGTTACATCTACCTGTACAGTAAAAATAGTATGCTACATCTATCTGTACAGTAAATATAGTATGCTACATCTAACTGTACAGTAAATATAATATGTTACATCTAACTGTACAGTAAATATAGTATGTTACATCTAACTGTACAGTAAATATAATATGTTAAATCTACCTGTACAGTAAATATAGTATGTTAAATCTACCTGTACAGTAAATATAGTATGTAACATCTACCTGTACAGTAAATCTAGTAAAGTATATCTACCTGTAGAGTAAATATAATATGCTACATCTACCTGTACAGTAAATATAGTATGTTACATCTACCTGTACAGTAAATATAGTATGTTACATCTAACTGTACAGTAAATATAGTATGTTACATCTACCTGTACAGTAAATATAGTATGTTACATCTAACTGTACAGTAAATATAATATGCTACATCTACCTGTACGGCAAATATATGTTACATCTACCTGTAGAGTTGTCCTGAATGGGGCATTCATAGTGTAATTCATTTAAACTTTTGTAAGTTCGTATGTTTAAAAAAATATTTTTGATGTGCAAATTGTTCCCATATTTCTCGTATATTTATCACATACTGCTTACATATTGCTCACCTATTTATCACCTATTGCTTTCATATTGCTCACATTTTGCTCTCACACTGCTCTCAAATTGCTCTCTTATTACTCTCACATCGCTCTCATATTGCTCTCTTATTACTCTAACATTTCTCTCATATTGCTCTCTTATTACTCTCACATCGCTCTCATATTGCTCTCTTATTACTCTAACATTTCTCTCATATTGCTCTCTTATTACTCTCACATAGCTCTCATATTGCTCTCTTGTTACTCTAACATTTCTCTCATATTGCTCTCTTATTACTCTAACATTTCTCTCATATTGCTCTCTTATTACTCTCACATCGCTCTCATATTGCTCTCTTGTTACTCTAACATTTCTCTCATATTGCTCTCTTATTACTCTCACATCGCTCTCATATTGCTCTCTTGTTACTCTAACATTTCTCTCATATTGCTCTCTTATTACTTTCACATTGCTCTCATATTGCTCTCTTGTTACTCTAACATTTCTCTCATATTGCTCTCTTATTACTCTCACATCGCTCTCATATTGCTCTCTTATTACTCTCACATCGCTCTCATATTGCTCTCTTGTTACTCTAACATTTCTCTCATATTGCTCTCTTGTTACTCTAACATTTCTCTCATATTGCTCTCTTATTACTCTCACATCGCTCTCATATTGCTCTCTTATTACTTTCACATTGCTCTCACATTGGTATCATTTTGCTCACACTCTAATTTTTATTAAGGAATAACCTACTTTGTATTTGTCCGGTCTCCAGATCAAGAACTGTTCCGTAAAGCCAGCTGGCTCATCGCCCTGGCTGACGTGTTGGACCGGCTTACTCTTTGCCTTCCGATGACCACCTTCCCCTTGTAATGATTCCTAAATAATTTTATTTTAGAAAAAAAGACCTTTCACAATTCCAGCCCATGAAAGTATTGTATTAAGTTGTGACACGTGATTTGTTTGAAAGTTTTAATTTTAAGACACGAGAAATATCGATTACAATCTTAAGAAGCTTACCATTGCGTTTTTCAAACATGCTTTGGTTTCCAGAGTTTTGACAAGTTTTCCCGTCCAAAGATATATCTGCGAATGAAATTAGTGGGCACGATCTGTGGGTTATTGCTTGTACCAAACATATGGTAGTTATCATAACATTGTAATATCCCAAATTATTTGCTAATTTATCACAACTTTGCGCCATCAGCTGACAAAAAAAAAAAATTTGGGGGGGGGGGCATATCTGACATCCTCACTATTTTGACTATCTGGCATCCTAACTATTTTGACCATGTGACATCCTCACTATTTTGGTCATCTAACATCCTCACTAGAAAACAAAGCTAACGCATCGTTTTAAGTGAGAAGGCATTGAGATGGACCGATTTTACATATAATAAATCTTCGTGAAATCAGGACCGGCTTATCCATGTGGGCAAAAGTGGGCACCATGCCCCGTGTCTCAGAAGCTCAATGGGCAGTGGACTCGCATTTGGTAAACTTCTCTATATCATTCTTATTTTATTGGACAGCGTTGGGATACACTGACTGTAACCAGGATGTCAAGGGTATGAGAATCACTCGTGTTATGTTTGGTATGGAAAAGATGTTTAGTGTGGAGAGAATATGTGCAGTTGTATCTATTGTGTGAGATATTTGTGACGTATTTGGGTGAGAAGGAATGACGCGTCAGTTTTGTAGTTGTCATGGTGGATTTTTGACCGTTGGATGATATTTAATGGTGTAGCTTGAGTGTTGAGGATTTCGGCTGGATGCGTTGTTAAACAAGTACTTTGATTTGTGCAACGAATCGAATTTTGACTACATAACACATTCCTCTGCCATGTCTTGATGATATGTCATAAACTTATTCAAACTATTCAGTGTTTTAGTGTAGTGGTATCAGTTGCACTATTCCGTGGGACGAAGTGAGAGACAGTACCCAACAAGTAAGCATCTGACATCCCAGGTTAGATGAACACATCGACATTGAGATCTACATTGAGATCGACACGGGACCCCTGAAAGTCTTACTCCGGGCCGAGGTATGTCATCTTTTGACAAGTCGCCAACATAAACCAAAAAAAAACAACAACAAAAACAAAACAAAAACACAAAAAAAGAGCAAACGATTACGATACTATCGTTCACTGCGATACTTATGAATTTGTTAACAAATGTTAAGTAGATTATTTTAAATTTCAGATCATAATGTTTCACAACATGCAAGAGTAGCTTTACTTTTTCTTTTGTATCTAAAATCACCACAGAATCGTCCCTTAAATCGTCCTGGCTGTACGGTTCGATTTCCTCCATGCAGAATCGTTCCGCTGAGTTGGAGCAATGAAACAATCTCGCCGAGTGTTGCCTGGACTTGGGCTGCTCAATTGAAACAAGACACACAACACAGGATTAAAACTTAAAGCGCCTTGTGTCTATAATTAGCACATGACATCATTTCAGAACCAAATCGGAGGAGTCAGTATGGATGATTATGAAAAGGTTTTTAACATGCACTCTTTGTTAAAATAAAAAAAAAAAATTCTTTATCAAATAAATGCTACTACATTTTGAGAAACGATCCTAAGCAGTGACACAGGTCCATGTGTGTTTAAAGGGATAGAAATCGAAGATCTAACTTATTTCCCTTAGAATTAGGCTCTCTTGCTTTATTAAAAATTTACTGCCCTCTGTTAATTGGATGCGAAGATTTCTTCACAAAAAAAGTCTAACTAATCAAAAATGAATATTACTTTTATATTTTCAGATGAATTAGCTGTAAGCGTTCCTGCTACTTTCTGTGTCGTGGTATGATGATTAATGTAAGATTTATCCATGATCGGGTCTAAACAAAGAAATTGATACAATAAATATATGACGTGTAGAGTGTAGACAAATTAAAATTTATGTGTCGTCGTATTGTTAATTGTGACTGTTTCCTGGAATAGAAAAGCTTTAAATAATCTTTCTTTATTTTCAATATAAAGGTAAATGTCTTTAAATGAATATCGGCACAAGACATGGTACAAGTGTCTTTAACATCATTTAAAATTAAATGTTTAGCGTTTATATTACATACTTATATATGGATATTAGAACTGACTGACGAAATAAATAGGAAAATGTGCAATGAAAAAGACTTAGAAAGACTGAAAGATTTAAACTCACTGGGTGCCTTCATAGCACGCGACTCATCTTGGGACCAGGAAGTAAACTGCTGCTTAAATAAGGGAGTCTCTCCTCCTTCGACCACACGCGTCATTGGCGTCCAGTCCGGATAGCCCCTGATTTGTAGGAAGTCCTACAATGTTAATGGAACACTTCTTTACTTTTAAACATCAAGAAAAAATGCTAAATGTTAAGTTTTTTTCTTCTTATTTCGTTTCTTTTTATGAAAATTCAAGGTAACAGGTCAACTCACCGTCGCATTTTTCCAAGCGGACTTTTTCTCATTTTTAGTGCATCCTTTTCCGATCCACACGTAGATGCCGCTTTGACCAGAGTCCAATATAAAACAATCCTAGGAAAAAAAGGTAGATATTAGACTTAAAAAGTATATATTCTTTTAAAAATCCACTTATATGCATTGCTACAACTTTTTTTTTAATTGTAAGATTTTAAGGGGATAATTTTCATTTGTGAATTATTCTTTGTTTAGAAAATAAAAATGAAAAATGAAAATAAGAAAATAAGAAAATAAGAAATAAAGAAAATAAGAAAATAAGAAAATAAGAAAATAAGAAAATAAGAAAATAAGAAAATAAGAAAATAAGAAAATAAGAAAATAAGAAATAAAGAAAATAAGAAAATAAGAAAATAATTCTGGGGTCCTTTTTGCCAATGCCGCGTCCCTATCGATTTCAAAACATATTTCACACGAAGCCCACCCACCCAACAAAAAATAATTCTCATGAAAATTCAAATAAACCTGATTATTTAGCCCCCGCCACACCAAACGCCAGCTCCCGCACCTCCAGAGGTGCCAACACCCCTTTTGTTAAGAACCCCTGGCCGCCTCCAGAGGTGCCAACACCCCTTTTGATAAGAACCCCTGTCTTATTCCATCACATCTCCTGATTCTGGTTTCTTACGTTTGAGTCCAAAGTAGCTCTCGTGAATGTCTTGCAACCAACCTCTGTGACTTCGAGTTGACCGGAAGCATCTGACACTCTGTTGAAGCACAGCGAGACCAGATTCACTTCAAAATGTGTACAGTTAAACATTCTTAATACGGGTTTTTTTCCCCCTCGACTTATTCCATCTGTTTCAATTGTGGCTTGGAATTCGTGTTATGGTTATCATTCAAAAGTGAACACTAGCCACACATTGGTGTCACAGACGTATATGCAATGCTATTAGGTGTTTTTTTTAATGATGATCAAAGACACTTTCCACTTCCACCCCCAACAAACAAACACACACACACACACAGCCACACCTACACACACAAACAAACACAGACATACACACAGCCACACACACACGCACAAACAAACACACACACACGCGTAAACGTTTTATTTAAAATCGTCTGCAGACTGTGTTGGGTGTAACTTCAGCTGCGTAGTAAGAATCTATGGCAGTGGTTCTTAACCTTTTTGGAGGTACCGAACCCCACCAGTTTCATATTCGCATTCACCGAACCCTTCTTAATAGGAAAAATAAAATATGAATTTTTTTTTTTCTGATTTTTTGGAACCTCCGCCGAACCCTTGAGGCTGACTCACCGAACCCCTGGGGTTCGATCGAACCCAGGTTAAGAACCACTGATCTATGGTTAAGAACAGACACAATTTATATTCACCTTTGGACAGAGGTTCATTCAGGATTTTGTATTTTTAAAAAAAAATGGCGTATAGAAAGAATAAAGGGTCAACAAGCTATGTGTCAAAGCGTCATAATTTTTATAGATATGGTCAGATTTTTGTTTGAAATCTGCCGACCTTTGATCGATCTTTGCCCGATCATTGGGTGAAATAGGCAGATCATTTGTTGTATATTGGCAGATCATTGGTTCAACTTGCCAGATCATTGGTTGATACTGACAGAACAATGGTTGATATTGGCAAACCATTAGGTGATATTGGCATTGTATTTTTTTTTTTCAAATTCTCTTAGGTTTGCGTGGGGGAAATTTTTCTTTTAAATCAGGCTACAGTACGTTTATGCAAATGTGTTAAGACACGTCATCGAAATTTAGAGATCATCTCTTACCTTTGATGTACCCTCAGGTGTCTTTGGTCAGCACAGGGACTATTCAGAACAAAGAATATTGTAGCAGACGACCAGCATTAGAACAAACCTAAAAAGTTTGGTTTCCTCCTGAACAGACTTCTCAAACTCCTGATCAGCCTGGACGTCGCCAGCCTTGGCGATGCTGCCGTTACTTCCTAGAGCCTTAAAGAAAGCATGGTCTGTCTGCCAGCGCTCTTCTGTTTTAAACAAAAAGTTGTTCCGAATCTCTTAGACATTAAATCGACCATTTCCACGTGATAAATAATGTTTAAAATTCCATGTGTATTGAAAAAAAAAATAATTTAGCAACTTTAAAAAAAAATTAATTAATTAAATTATGTTCAGCTATAATGGAGCATTTAGGGGGAATGGGGTTGGGAGGAAAAAAAAGGGGGGGGGTGGAGGGGTTACGCCCTAGTGGCACTTGTTTCTTTATTTTGATGGGCATAATTTAATTTTTGACCGACTGCAAAACTATTTATCATGGAAGATATGTAAAATTTATATTTTGGGTGTGTGGGGGATCTTCCCCCACCCGGCTGCTTCACTTACCTTGGCCACACCACTGGTTCGGTTACCATCATTATATTTAATAAATCGAAATCGGTTATCATAAAATGATCAGCACTTTAAAGATAGGAAAATGTCTTCCTTTTTAAAAAACAAAAAAAACAAACAAACAACGAAACAAACATCATGGGGTTGAGAAGAAGGGAGTGTGCAGAATAAAAAAAAATGTTGTGGATGAGTTAAGTAAATAGGAGATAAGCGGGCAGACACGTAAAGGCCACGGAGAAGCATGTGTGCAACGCTGTTAATGATTTATACAACTTGATGGGGCGTGTAAAATAATTTTTTTATGTATCTGGCAAGTGTATGTAGGGAATTGATGAAACTCTTACTGATGCCTCAGCCTGGCAAGGATGGAGGGTAAAAAAAAAAAAAAAATTAAATCATCATTAAAAAAAAAAAATGTGTGTGCATGCGTGCTTGTGGCAAGTGTATGTAGGGAATTGATGAAACTCTTACTGATGCCTCAGCCTGGCAAGGATGGAGGGTAAAAAAAAAAAAAAAAAATTAAATCATCATTAAAAAAAAAAAATGTGTGTGCATGCGTGCTTGTTTGTATGTGTGTTGCCAAAACACCGTTCGAGGGAGAGTGAGTGTAAAAAGGGGAGTCCTGTGTTGCGTCCGACTCTTAGCAGAGGTGGGTCAACGTGATAAGACCGAGTGGAACTAGGTGCGCGGTATGACGAAGCATCTGAATGATAAAGACGCGAGAGGGAGGCTAGACGTTGGGTTCATATTACAACAGTCTTATGTGTCCGGGTATGGTGGTAGGGACGTCATTTCAAGGGGGGTGGAGGTGGGGGGGGGCAAAACCAAAACTTGGTCGGCTTGTTAAGTTGTTTATTACTGGAGGCGCCACAGTGCTGGGCAATTAAAATAAAACCTGCTAATTCGAGGGGGGGGGGGAATGCCCCACCCTGCCCTACCCCAATCACATCTCTGGCTGGTGGGTGACGATTAGGGTGTTTTGCATGCTGCTCGCTGTATCTTTGATAGACATTTAGCGTTTTAAGGGAAAACAATAATTATCTTTAGATTATAACTTTATTTTGTTGTTACTGGTCATGTCACGTTAGAAATAGCGTATCTACCGCAAGTAGCCACAGAGCACAGACACAAAATAATGGATTAGGTTTCCCGAAGCGTTTAGTCTTGTTGTTCTTACTGCATCAGGATCCTGGCGTTTATAATAACGTAGGGCGGAGATCTTTTGTTCCTATATATATATATATATATATATATATATATATATTAGGCTAACATTTTTTTGCCAACTGAAGATGTTTTTTTTTCCTTCTATTTTGGGGGCTGGGTGGCAATAACCTAGCCCTGACCCGGGTGGGCCAAACCTTATCTGTGCCAATGATGAGAAAAAGAATCATTCCAGGGGGAAAAATCATCAAATCATGAACTGGATTCAGGACGTGGGCATCTTTTTGGGGACTATGGCAGTGGATGAAAGATGTATGCCTATTTAATGCCCTTATGTCAGTGGGTGCAAGGCATGTGACTATTAAATGCCCTTATGTCAGTGGGTGCAAAACCTGTGCCTATTAAAAGCCTCTAATGTCAGCGGATGCAAGGCATGTGACTATTAAATGCCCTTATGTCAGTGGGTGCAAAACCTGTGCCTATTAAAAGCCTCTAATGTCAGCGGATGCAAGGCATGTGACTATTAAATGCCCTTATGTCAGTGGGTGCAAAACCTGTGCCTATTAAAAGCCTCTAATGTCAGCGGGTGCAAGGCATGTGACTATTAAATGCCCTTATGTCAGTGGGTGCAAAACCTGTGCCTATTAAAAGCCTCTAATGTCAGTGGGTGCAAGGCATGTGACTATTAAATGCCCTTATGTCAGTGGGTGCAAGACATGTGACTATTAAATGCCCTTATGTCAGTGGATCCAAAACATGTGCCCCTTTAATGCCCATATGTCAGTGGATGCAAGCCGTGTGCCTCTTTAATGCCCTTTTGTTAGTGGATGCTAGAAGTGTGCCTATTAACTGCCACTTATGACAGTGGATGCAAACAGAACATTGTAGTGTACAAAATGCGTTAGTTTCTCCTAAAAACTATTAATAGTTTGAGGGCAAAAGAAGATCTAGTTAGATAACGGAAATGATACGACTTAAAACAATACAACAAGAAAAATATCAATTAGTTAAAACATAAAACGAACAAGACAAATACCAATGAGTTAAAACATACAACGAACAAGACAAATACCAATGAGTTAAAACATACAATGAACAAGACAAATACCAATGAGTTAAAACATACAATGAACAAGACAAATACCAATGAGTTAAAACATACAATGAACAAGACAAATACCAATGAGTTAAAAAATACAACGAACAAGACAAATACCAATGAGTTAAAACATACAACGAACAAGACAAATACCAATGAGTTAGAACATACAGCGAACAAGACAAATACCAATGAGTTAAAACATAAAACGAACAAGACAAATACCAATGAGTTAAAACATACAGCGAACAAGACAAATACCAATGAGTTAAAACATACAGCGAACAAGACAAATACCAATGAGTTAGAACATAAAACGAACAAGACAAATACCAATGAGGTAAAACATACAGCGAACATGACAAATACCAATGAGTTAAAACATACAGCGAACAAGACAAATACCAATGAGTTAAAACATAAAACGAACAAGACAAATACCAATGAGTTAATACATACAACGAACAAGGCAAATACCAATGAGCTAGAACATACAACGAACAAGACAAATACCAATGAGTTAATACATACAACGAACAAGGCAAATACCAATGAGCTAGAACATACAACGAACAAAACAAATACCAATGAGTTAAAACATACAACGAACAAGGCAAATACCAATGGATTAGTACACACAAGAAACAAAGACAAATACGAATTGGATTAGAACATTTAAAGAACAAGACAAATCCCAATGGAAAGATATACAAGAAACAAGACAAATACCAATTGATTAGATCATACAACGAACAGACAAATACCAATGGATTAGCAGTGGTCCGCAAATCGCGGCTCTCGAGCCTCATGCAGCTATTCTAGCGACCTGTGAGCGGCTCGGCCAGTCGGCAACAAATCGGTTTTTACTCCGAAAAACATGGATCTTGACAGATACTTGAAAAGAAATTTGGCTTCAATAAAAATTTAATCGGCCTGCTGCTCCTTTTTTGCTCTTGTGACTAATGAGTTTGCCGACCACTGGATTAGAACATACAACGAACAAGACTCAGACCAATGGATTAGAGCATAAAAATAATAATAATAAAGATTATTTAAAAATCCCGCTTCATCCCCAAAGGCTCGAAGCGCGGTACATATCACATTGAAGTACAAAATTCAACATTACAAAACTACATACAAGAATGCCCATTCTAAGTCTTTCATACCTTGCAACCATAAACAACACAGGGCAATATACATCTACAAGACAATAGCTAGATAGACAACATCACCCAACAGGTGTTTGCGAAAAAGATAAGTCTTCAAATTAGTTTTGAAAGACTCCAGGGTCTGGCTGTTTCTGATAGCGATAGGAAGAGTGTTCCAAAAAACAGACAGCAAACAAGACCAAGACCACTGGATTAGAGCATGCGGCGAACAAGACTCAGACCAATGTATTAGAACATGAAAAATCTTGCTGATTCAGCCTTAGCATGAGATGACGAAGTTGATTTTTCCTCTAGTCATCTTCCAGATCTACAAACACCACCAATGGTGTTTTTTTTTAATTTTATATATTTACTGTAGATCTTATGTTGGCAGCCTGCGTGTATCCACCAGCCATGTTAGTAATACATATGGCGGTGAATAAGGCTACTGAGCTGAGACTGTTGCATTTAACTTTGACTCAGATCGCAGAGGTATGCTGGTTACAATGTTGCCATATTGTTTAGTGGGAGAACATCCCTGAGAAATACGGTACTAGATTTTTGTTCACCTGCAGAAGCTCTTTTGTAAGACTACTTTATTTTTATTTAGTTTTGTTTTCAGGTTAACTTTTAAAAATCTACTTTCAAATCATTTTTTCAAAATTATCAACGAATCACCTTTGCTATCATCTACGTGACAAATATTTGATTTCCAAATTTTATTTTGTTATAAACATCATAAATGAAGCATTAATCATTAGGCATTCTACATTTATTACGTAAGGTTTTATCAAGCTTTCTTTAGACACATTGCATTCATGTGCTTTGTTCAAATCATTCTTTTTTTTTTTAAATGCACGTACATTTACGTGTGAACCATACTCTATCTGAATGGTGATAAGCAGCTGATAATTTGCTTCCAGTAAACATGCCTAACATGACAATAGTTAAGTTGTGTAGACTTACCAATAATTTTGACGTCGGCTTTGCCACCTCTTTCTTCATCTTTAATTCGCCTAGCAACTTCAGCAGCCTACGAGATCAAAACGATTTTAAAAGAACTTGTGCACTATCAATGTAGCAATATCACATCAAATTAATCACGACAGTACCGTAAACGCAATAGATTTTACAGCAGTGAACAGTAGTGAATGTAATATTTTAAAGGATGAACTTTGGATTGAAACAAGCTTGCTCAGCTAGATCGTATCTTTATTATTGCATAATAAAGATATCTTCTGATATCTGCAAAAATTTGGTAAGAGCTATTTCCTGAATTCCTCTGCCTAAATGGATGCATACTTGTTTAATATAGGGATATTTGGATCAACTTTGATAATTTGATAATCATTTTTAATGG